TAAGGGTCGAAGTGAGGTCATCAGCGAGAGGTGCCTTGGGTCTTGGAGGTTTGGCTTTCTTGAACAGCAAGAAAGCTTTCGGTGAGATATGGGCTTCAACTTTAGGTTTTGAGTCACCAGTCAATGGTATCGGCTCGGAAAGTGACGGATTAAATTTGGAACGCCGGGATGGACGCTTCGACTGCGGTTGGGGTTGAGAATCAGTGAAGTTGGGTTCATTCACAGTGGTGGCCCCCTGGGGACGTCTTGGAGGGCGATTCTTCCTTGACCGTGCATCTCCACTACCTGTTTCACCTGCAACAGAGTTAGATCCAGCTGTGGTCTGGGAAGCGCCAGGTGGTCTACGCCAATTTGAGCTTCCCTGCTCGTGATCATGAGATCGGTTCTGATCAAAGTTTCGGCGAGGCTTCCTGCTGCCTGTACCATCTGTCTCCGGAGCAACTACGACAATCGAACTGGCTGCATTCGCTGAAGGAATGTGACTTCTGGGACGATTGCCAGTGCCACGACGGTTTCTGCTCGAGTTTGAGGTTGGATTCGCTAAAGCGGGTACTTGGTTCTCAACTTGATGTTGGATTGTAGTTCCAGGTGAGGATGTTTCCATGCGAAGGGGACTGGTATAAGCTAGTATAAGCTGCTGGCTCTATGGGTGCTCGAGGCAAAATATATATTGCTGAGTCAGCCTTTCCGGCTCCGGCCCAGGCGAGTCACTGGGCCCGGATCACTGAGTAAAAATGACTGTGCTTTTCCAGTGACTCTACGCTATTTCTGATATCTGCGGGGTGGTATGTTCAAGGTCAAGTGACTCGGCTGTTACTATGATTGATATCGATTTACGGTATCTACTGATAAGTGGGAAAATTAATATGTCGGTCACGGCTACAGCCGGTCCGCGGGACGACCTCGAATCGTCTTTTTTTTGGTCATTGATATTGTTTATTGTCTGCAATTGGGGCCTTGCCCTATGGTAGACTGTACCTCGAATCGGCCATGCTCCCTTTCTGCATCGTTCTATGGTCTCCGTTCTGGTTCTTCCTTAGTGGGTGACTCACTAGTCATAAATGAACGCGCTGCATCTCGCCCCCCATGAGTCTATGTTACTCGTGATTTCAGACTGCAATCTTGCAAGGGACGTCTGTTGTGTCTAAGTCTTGCGCAAAGTTCCTTGGATCTCTCGCAAGCGTTTGCTCAATATCCTGCCGATTCGTTGTTGTCTGTGGTGGTACCTAATCTCAGATTGATTGTAGACAATTTTGCAACGTCTAACAAAGAACAGTACGCTGAGAGCGTGCGCGAAGGGAGCCTCATCTCGTCATTCTCTGGTATCAAACAAACACCAACCATCCCTGCTTCCTGTCCTCGGATAAATGCAACTTGTCAGCACTTCAGATCATCTGTGTTGTATCAGACACAAATATATATGTATGAAGTGAGCTGCTGCAGAACTATGTCTCCCTCACTCGATAATTTTCCCTTTCCCGTTTGTATCGTTCGTCTTGCGTTAACCCTCGTCGCTAGACAAACTACTTTTGTAGCATGATATTTTGTCTAGGCCCATTCATTGTTGCTGTTTCTAACCGAAACGCTGAGTCGGTATGGAGGAAACTTCGAATTTGATTCTGCTTGACATCACAAAGACCATGCGTCACTAGTACTATCGGTTGATACGTTCCTGCACAATAGTTGTACTCTCAGCGAACGCAACGGACAAGGTGTACAAACATCTGCATGAGTGAAGAAAGGTCGACATAATATCTCCGACAGAAGATGAGTTAAAGTGATCGAGGTGGTGAAATGGAGACGTCAATGAAGCGATTACAAACATACGTCATGCAGAAGTTCAGAAGTTCAGCGATCACCGAGCTCAAAGTGCCAAGTTTTAGTGACACCACCCTTAGATCACCAAGTCGACGTTCATGCAAGGGTTGAAACACAACCCGAACTGCAAGACACAGTGCGAGGACCTCTCATGCCGTGCTGAGTGTCCAAGTTTCGGTCACAATTTGTATCGCTGGTAAACTAATAGGTGCTGAAGAGGACAAGCACCTCGCTGATGAACCTGATCGTTCGCCCATAATCCTTACCACTTGGTATGTCACCGCTTGCTCCCGCCGCTCTGTAGTAGTGCAGTGAATTAGACGGGAATGGCAGGTATCGGGTGCAGATTACTCACCACATCTGTCGTCGTGACTCCTGGAAGGCTCGCTTCTTGCAACCAGCCAGAAGTCACAAATGCACTGTATGTGAGGAAGCATACATGGCATGATGATGCTGTTCATGAGAGATGACTTGTTAGCGGGATTAGAGGCGATGGTGATGCGAGGGATTTACATGATAATTGCGCCGAGATGATCAGCCAATGTGCCGAATGAGCTGCACACACCGATGAGGTTCTTGATTGGCATCTGTATAAGGTAGGTGGCTACTACTAGACACGCATATAGTTAGTATATCAGCATCACAAAAATAAATCCTCGAAAGGACTGAGACGACACGAACTTACATTATGCACGAATAGTCTCCGTCGAGAGAATACCATATGTAGCAAGTGTCGCATGCGTGCATCAGAAACGACGAAATTAAGACGCAGACGAAGTTCGAACGCGCCGCATCAGGCAATGACAGTGACCACTTACTCTGCCGAAGGCTTCTCCGCTAATCACACAAACCTACCATGAATTCACCCTCACAAAGCTATCATGGTGACAGATTAATGAGAGCGGATTGATGCACGGCTGCATGAGGCATTAGTGTCTGACTTAGTGGTGATCGTAGGATCGTACCTCTCAGGCTAGCCTTGAAGGCAGCTCCTGGAACCACTTGTGTTCAAAGTAGTCCACTTCCCCACCAAAATCTACGTGCTCGACATTCTTTGCCGTGTAATTCAATATTCGACGATTAGGAGGACTAGTTTCAAGACGTAAAGTTTCGAGAAATGTGGTGAGATCCTTTGGTAAAGGTATCGAATCAAATAGATCAGAGTCTTGTGCCTGAAGGGTGAAGATAGCAAGGGTGTTCACCCTATCAGAACGAAGGTCAGCCAAGCGTTTCAGGTGGCGTATGACGCGGACTTACGATAGAAGTGGGGGAAAAGAACTAGTGAGGACGCTGAGATTGAGATGAGGGTGAGAAATGTTTCCTGGAAGACGATGATTGGGATAACGCCTGTGAATTCGGGTGATCAGGGTGCCTAAGAGGAAATAAGAAATCTGCCTTGCCTTGAAAAGAGTATTCAGATACTGTCTATTCTCCGAGTCCTTGAATGACAAAAGTCTAGAACCAGGACTATTCGGACGTCTTCTGAGCAGCGATTGATTGGTGATGTGACACTCTGCACTAGGCTCTAGTACTGATATGGCTGATCGATGAAACGTTGATAATCGAAATCGATAGTTGAAGTCATCAGAGAAGGCGATTCAGAAGGTTAACACGTTGACGTTGCGCCGATACGAAAGCGGAACTTGAAATTATGCAAGTGATAAGAGAAGGCAAACGTGCATAGCCCGATAGGTATCTGAGGTAGATCAATTCTTTTGTATAACGGACATGGGCGGACAAAAATATTCACTTGATTTCTTTCGTTTCCCAATATGGGCTTTCGCTTTCGACTTTCGCTTTCGTTTCCCAATATGGACTTTCGCTTTCAACTTTCGCTTTCAGCTTTCAATTCCAACTTTCAATTCCGACTTCGCCTTTCGATTCCAATTTCGATTTTGACTTTCGCCTTCGCCTTCATTTTTGACTTTTGACTCTAGCTTTCGTGTTCGACTTTTGCTTTTGATTCTAGTCTTTGCTTTCGGCTTTGGGTTTCGGGCAGGTCAGTGTGACTTGTGAGTGCATCGCTGCATGGTAGGCTAGCCAACTGTTATATAATATCAAGTAACCCTCGTTCACCGACCATCACTGTGGAGTGTATCTGTACCATGCCTGAGGCAATTCAATTAACAAATATTTATGATTCTTTCATACAACTCGGTGAAAGAGTTCACGTCACCCTCAGGACACAGCTTGGTGATATAGGCTGCTTGAATGCTCAAAAGGCAGTCTGCCTTCAATTCCTCGAAGCTATTGAACAGGTGTAGTTGATTGTGGTACTGTTATGACATGATCTCAGGCTGATGCATCTAAGCATCTAAATATCATACCACCAAGGGAAAGACTTGTAATTGAAGCCAGCGTGGATCGCATGATTCAAGAGCTGGACACTGCGACTACTGTATCATCTGATCCACCAGATGCAAGCCCCATCACCCTAGGAAGTCATGTGCAGGGTGGTACAGTTGGAAGACCCAGCATTGATATCATTCCATCCGACCTCGCTGTCCTCTCTTCAGGCAGAGTGTCAAGGAGGCGTCTGGCCGAACTATATCATTGTCATCCCTGAACCATTCGTCGTCGGCTACTTGAATTCAATCTGTCACCTCCTGGACCTCCCGTCTATGTGGATGAGCAGCAGCCTGATGGTGTTGTTAACCGAACTTACCACTGAGGCTCTTCCAGTGATCTCTCTATGATATCTGATGCTGAACTTGATAGACTGATATTGGAACTCTACCACCAGTTTTCGTCATTTGGACGATGGATGCGTGACGGCTATCTTTTGCAGCTTGGCTATCGCATTCCTCGCAGCCGTATAGAAGCATCATATCTGCGAGCTGTTGGTCCATCTCCTGCGACATTTGGTCCACGGCGAATCCAGCGTCGTAGTTATTCAGTTCCAGGCCCCATGGCCCTGGTTCATCATGACAGACAGCATGGTGCGTTTTGTGTGGGCAGTGTAGTAAAATTACTAAACATTTATCACAGGTCTTATCCATTGGAAGCTAGTCATCCATGGCTTCATTGATGGATTCTCTCGTTATGTTCTAGGGATGCGTGTTAGTAATAACAACCGCTCTGAGACTGTACTCTCTTTATTCGAAGATATTGCTATGACTCATGGGTACCCAAGCCATGTGAGAGGTGACCATGGGACAGAAAATTTACTTGTTGCTGCCCGGATGGAAAAAGTACGTGGAATCGAGCGTGGTTCATATATTTGGGGCAGGTAAGCATTATCAAGCTCTCTGTCTGCTAGTCTGTCCTAATTATATCTACAGGAGTGTTCACAACATCTGGATTGAACGTCTTTGGGTGGATGTAACAAACGGCCTAGGGCAGAAGTGGAAGGAATTTTTCCAGACTCTCAAAGCCTACGACAACCTCAATGTGAACAACGATTCACACCTGTGGTTACTCCATTTCCTATTCCTCCCTTTAATCAACGATGATGTTGGCCAGTGGGTAGCCTCGTGGAATCGCCATGTTCTTGGGTGTTGTGGAGAGCCCCATCAGTCACCCCATGACCTGTTCATCCAAGGTGTCATTGAGCATGGACATCGAGGGGTGTTTATTGAGTCAGGCGAGGACCAGGGGCCTGTAGAAGATATTGCCAGCTATGGCATTGATTGGAATGACTTGGATGACCGGCGCATACGGGCTCATCATGATACTCATAATCCGGAGGACGGCGATTCCACCAATCCATTTGTATCAAATCATCCCGAATCTGATCTATCTCACGTTGAGGTTCCTGAGTCCTGTTGTCCGTTTGCAGATGCTCAACTTCGATCTTTTCTTTCCGATGTCCAGCCCCTTCTTGATTCAAGTCTACATATTGATATGCACTCGCGTCATTTACTTTGGATTCAAACATTAGCATTAGCTTCTTCTACTAGTAGAACCGAACCCAGTAATACTTGAAAGTCATATACACTACATACAAGATGAATTGAAGCTACCATGATCAAGACAAGAAAATGGTTGGTGTCTGAATGTTGGTTTTCAGAACATGGATGCGACCTCGAACGCTCGGACACTGGTCCAGAACCAACTGAAAGTGCTCTACAGTGTCGTTCAGGTCAGAGATGTTCTCGCTTGTCATGTATACGGCCAATTGTGCGTGGCCTGCATCTCTGTCTCGAGCAATCTCGCAGTCTATAAGGGACTGTAGTTTGCGTTGTCTCAGCAAAAGCTAACACACAGATACTAGTGTCACTCACATCAAACAGTTCGTCATCCTGACCGTCACAAGCATGTACAATGGCAGCCTTTAGCTTGATGGAAGAATGAACACCACGCATGGGTGGGAAGGATAAATCTACAGGACATTAGTGTATGTGCATGAATGAGAAGCGAATCACTCACCAAATGGCTCATCTCCATAATCGAGCAGCTCATCCCACGACATCTGAAGTTCGCCGATGACCTCTCCACCGCCCAGCGTTCGACCAAACTCAAAGGATGCCCTGATCTCCACTGACAACACAGGCGAGGAGTGTAATGATCTATGAACCGAAGATCAGTTCTCGCATCGTGTCCGACAGTGTCCATGAACTTTACAGAGTGACAGAATTCCCGCACATTACAGATCTATCAGATGATAAGACACTGATGGCTAATTTCCAGCGCCTCCTGGAGTCGACATTGATGGATATGTAGATGCCAGCAGGAATGCACCACTGGGAGGGGACTTGAAGATTCTTTCTGCTGATGACTGTAGATATTGTGTGAGGATGATAATCGATATGATGGTAGTTCAGAGGGACTCGCCTTCGAGTCTGATATATCAGCTTTCTGAGCTACCAGACAGGGAGTTTCAGGGTTCGGGTCATCCTACAGTAGTGCATGTGTCCGTAGGGGATGGGCACAACCCCTTGTGGTCCGGCGGTACATCACTCGTGCTCGTTTTCTCACTCTTGATGCAAGGGCCCTGCCTCATCGGCATTGAATCTGAAGTGCGGGTTTTGAAACGCGAGGCAAGTCTCTGAAGAATGAAACAGAGACGAGGAATAATGTTAAGAAACGCAGGGCAATGAAACCAAAGGAAATACTAACCATATAGGCGCCATGGAAATCAAGTTCAAGCAGCAAGACACTCACATTCACCAAACTCCAACAAACAACCACTTTCCATATGCTGTAACCTGTTGGATACGTTGCATGTACATGTACGAATGTATGACTTGTTCAGCTCAGAACCGGAGGCGATACATACAGTGTGGCTTGGAAGCTGGCATGGACACCAATGGTTCAGGAGTAGCAGGAAGTACTAGTACTCATCCGCCCTCGTTCCTCCTCATTGAAATCCTCATACCGGTTTGCATCACCTTTCCTCGCGTCTCCATCCTCTGCTGATATCCCCAATTGATGGCTATGCCACCCTTGCTCTGCTCATGGGTCCGCCGACAAACACGGAAATGTTTGGTATGTATATTCTCTTCAGTCGACACTGATTCTCATACTCATTTCTCACTGCATACAGCTTGTTGGTTCAGTATCTTGACGGTATCAAATTTGGTGATTATCAGGTAACCGTTAGTGGAATGTTGATGTCCGTCTGTTTTCTTTGCATCTCCCGGGCCAAGGTGGGTTCTTGCTTGAATTTTTGTAGTCCTACTGAGTGTTTGACAACAGCCGGTTGAAAAACTTTCCTGAGAGAGGCCGCTGGGCAACATCTTCAACCTCTATGTGCTATTATCCGTGCTGCTCCAGTTTGCCCTCCACATTATATCACTCATTTACATTACGAACTTGTCTCATTTACATTACGAACTTGTCTCATTTCCATGAGCCGTAAGTCTCTATCCCATTCATCCTTACAATATGCTGAGTCCTGTACAGAGCTGGTGTTATTGACCTCGAGGCAAAGTTTGAGAAGGCGATATCTGGAGCTTGGTTGAAAGAAAAAAATATCCTTACCATTTGTGGTGTGGACACACGCGCCCTCACCAAGAAGATACAGGAGAAAGGTTCCATGTTAGCCAGGGCCCATGGCACGATCCAAACTCTGACAATCTCGTCTCTGCAGTATCATTGTCGGCTTTCCAAAATTTTAAACCTACAAAACCTCGTTGGCGGGTTTCAGGCCTGGGGGACTGTTTTTGGGTGGTAAGCTGTGTCTCCAATAATACCCGTATGTTGTGTCTAACAATCACGATGATACCTAGTTTTCTTGTGCAATTTTGTGGCTTCAGGTTGGTTCTAGCTTGCTCGTTCAAGACATCTCAGTTAACAGCATTTGAACAGATACATAGCATCTTTTGGAGTTTACCAAGGTACCCAGCAGTTGCATGATACTTCATACCCAAAGTTGATAAACGATCCCGGAAGATTATTACACACGAATTTACATGACCAACCATTCACCATCTGCAATATCGTAAGTGAGTATGCGTATACTCTGCAGTTCTTGGTTTCACTCAGCATCAGATGGATTGGTGCATTGACCTCATTCCTCTCAGTCAATATCACGTTGTTCTCGGGTCCGTTGTACGACCGAGGTTGGTTGTAAGCTGCTGTATATTTATAAATAGTCAGTCGCTAATTCCTGCGCAAATTACTGATAGTTATCAATTGATGGTTGTGGGTTCGCTGCTCCAATCACTGTCCTTGTTTGCTTTATCCTTCACAAAGCCTGATTAGCTTTACTTGGTGAGCAGCCCGACCAATTTCGTTGTCTATGGGCTACCTATAGTTTACAACTTTCTTTAGTTAGTACCACTGGGCACTCGCTCATTCCAGAGGCCAATACATGCAATTTGCACGGCTCCACACTTTGTCAGACACTTTCAGTCGCCTAGGCACTGATCCGTGAACATCAGCTGTTAACTTGCGCCTCTAGGTCCCTGAGCACCAAAGGGTGCCCTGGGAAAACTCAATTTATTTTGTTCTTACATTTTTCAGCTGTGTTGATGCTTCACAAGGGGGTCAACGAGTGCTAGGTGCGTCAGGATGCTTCATAAGCATCTGAATCTCTCAGAAAGGCTGATGCCCATGCACTCGCCCTGAGTGAAGCAGCTCACTGCTTGTAAGACTTTGCACGTACTACTAACTAAATCCTTGGAGGAGGTGTTGCTGGCATCATTGCAGCGCACACGTTACACCGCAAGGGCATTGACAACTTCCTCATTGTCGAAGCGCGCAATGAGCTAGGTGGAAGGATGCAGAATTATACTACTGGCGTCCCTGGAAAGCAGTACACCGTTGAACTTGGTCCTAATTAGATTCAGGGAACGCAAACTGGCAGTGGGCCAGCTAATCCCCATGCCCATCCTGAGCCTCGCTCGAAAGCACCACGTCAAGAACCAGTATAATGACCTTGATGGCACTATCAGTACATTTACTATTCTACTTTCATCTTATTTTGTCTGTACTGACCACTGGTGAACAGCAACTTACAACTATAATGGGCTCAAAGACTATCGTGGCATCTTGGACACATCAGTTGATCAATTCACTCAAGTCGTAGCATTGACAAAACAGTACTCGTGAAGGTGGACAAAAGGTATGGCAATTGTTTTATTTCCGTCAGCTTGCCTATCTGACAATGTCCGAAGTGCTCCCAAATATTCCGCGTGACGCCTTACCTACTGCAATGGCTTTTCCATATCCCTCCTCTCTACCCACAGTTGACCACTTCTGCCTCAGGTGGAGGCAGCTCTGGTTCTACTTGCGCCTGCCTCAGGCGGGTGCTTGTATGTCCATGTTTTTTTGTCCTGCTCATACCAACGGCCTGATGCCAGAATGTCTCGCCAACGTGACCCGCAGAAACCAAGAAAACCATCACAGTCAGTGCCTCCATGCTTGGCGATGAGTGTGCATACTTCTCCTACCACGGCGAGTGTGTAGATATCTTCACTCCTGGTAAGTGTTTCCATTTGTTCAGAGATCAGCTCCTTATAAGCACTGCTTTGACAGGTCTTAACATCCTGCCACGTACATTGGCAGCAAAGATGCTACAACATGAATCCCATTCACACGAACTATCCATCCCCTCGGTTGTAGTATCCTCAAACACACCCACATCCCTTGGTCCAACCTCAGATATGTGCCCCATGACTATTTCATCATCTCGTCCTCAATATGTACCCCCGCAATACCTTTATGCTGACTGGTTACCACAATCTACCCCACCAGACCTGTCCCCTTCTCTTGCTAAATCACCTCCGAATGCGTATTCTCCCGCCAAAGGCCACACTATGTTCGAACAGCTAAAGGAACACAGCGTGGTGTGGGAGCAGACCCTTGATGTTATGGTGCAGATGGGTATTACTAGGGAAACTAACGGTCCACTCGACAACAACATCTTCCGAACACGACCACGCACTCTCAACCTCTATGCAAACAAAAACTTATCCTCGTCCTCTGTATCTACCATCTCGACCCACTTGGACACGAACCAACTCCCCAACACTCGTGGTATCCGCAGGACAGAGAAGCTTGTTGAAGCGCTGTTTAATCCTGTACCTGTCACATCTCCAGGACAACTCACCCCCTTCACATATCTCCACGAGCCTTCTGCACAGTTGCATGACCACTTTCGAGAACCTGTTGCAGAAGACAGGTACATCCAAGTTTATGGGGAGGGCGAGGATGAAGCAAGACTTGCAGACGAATCTCTATATTCGAATTCGACTTCTGTGGACCTGAACCACCCTATTCCAGCGCGCTTGGACTTGGAGAGTGATTATCAGAGTGTGCATTTGAGGTGGACTAGCTCATTACGTGCACCATCTGTGAAGAGTATGGCTGCGAGGTCAATCGTGATGATGGAGTGGGGGTGAGCACTGCTGTGTCAAATATGACTATTATGAAGAAGTGCATGTGGTGGCGGAAGGTGTTCTGTGCGGGGGCTGCATTATGATCGTAAAGGTCTTTCTTTTTCCTACGTCTACATCTCCGCATATGGCGTCGAATGAGTGCTGAAGCTCTGAAGACAGCAATGGTTTATGAACCGTCAGTCACGTGATTATTGAAACCAAATTTTCAAACTTCTTTTTGTTATTCCTTAGTTAGTACCATTGGGTGCCCGCCCATTCCAGAGGCCGATACGAGCACAATGCACGGCTCCCCCTAGTGGGACACTTTCAACTGCTCAGGCGTTGATCCGTGACCATCTGCCGTTAGCTTGTGCCACTTAGGTCCCTGGGCACCAAAGGGCGCCCTGGGAACACTCAATTATTTTATTTGACTGCTGCAGGTGAGAGCTCTGCTATGGCTGGAGGTCTCCATGTGGGCTCAATGACCCTGTGGCAGTCAATATACTAACTATATGCTTTGATTCTAGTGTTATCTTTGACTTGGGTGCCCTCATGGGTTGTTAGCACAGCACTAGCACTGGTATACCGAACACCAGACAATGCATGCTGACGCCGATGCCTTCATAGCCTATCCTTGACATCCTGTAATGGTGCCCCCCGGTGTTGAACTAACTTAGTAAGTTTTTTCTTTCTCTCTTTTTTCTCTTCAATTTGTGCTTCATTCCCTGGTCCAACACGCCTCTAGGAGGTGACTTGGACCAGAGGCTGTCAGGCTGCGAGGACACACCTCTAGGAGGCGACTCCGAGCATTCAAGCCTGATGGTTTCTAACTTTTATCCTCTTATTCCTACTACCTCAAACTATGTGTACTGACTTTGTTTCTTGTACTAGGCTATTTGTCTCACCCAACCTCGCATTCTCGCCCTCACCCGCCCCCCAAGATACTCTTATGACGGCCGGACATGGGCCGTTCAGCTCTGACGGTTCATTCAGACGTCTGTAGCTTAGTTGGCGGTGCAACACGCCCGGCTTCTCAGTACTGTCATCCGGAAATGTCACTATTGACACACTTGGCACATGCCTCAACAATGTCTCGACCACTATTTTGGTCATAGACCTTCGAGTACGTGATTGTATTTGGCCACTGACCAGTAGTCTCATCAAAATCTGCAGGATCTGTACTAACAACTTAGTCTGAGCTATCTTTAGACTTTGATGTTGTGCCCCGCATACTTGAATTTGATAACCGTCCACCACAATCTATCGTTCCTGATGTTGCATCGTACCCTGTTGTTTCTTTCGCTACTGCTATGAAGTCTGACAGTGTGATGACCCTGCCTGGTTTCACTACGATGATGCCTTTTATGACAACAATTTGCAGACTCCAACACTCCCTCAGTTGCTGCCTGCCGCACGGGCTCTATCCACTCGAAAATCTACCTGCCACACCAAAAAAGAGGCCATTGCGGTGATTTTGGGCCATTTTCTCGATCAGCAGACTGAACTTTTGGTGATGAACGATGAACTCTTGTTTGCACGGTTGTCCAATACGTTGTTGCCCATCGGCTGTATCCCATTGTGTGTCACCCTGATCGCATCTTATTTCTGCAAAGTGTATGGAGATGTCATCGCTACTGCTCTACATCATCCACCTCCTCTCTGTTGGTCGCGACATGCGGGGCTCAAGCCTCTTTGAACATGATGTGGTTAGATGCACCTTGTCTCGTTACAATTATGTCAGGGTACAAAATGAAGCTGGTACAATATTACTGGGATGGTGCAAGGGTACAATCAGTAGCAATTAGTACGGAAGTCAGTATGAAGAAAGCAGTAGTGATATTCTATGGGTCACAGGATACATGAAGGTCAGTCTTTGCAGCATGCAAATGCAACAATGTGAGAGATTAGTACAGCATAAGAACGAGTTGAGTACAGTAATCGGAGCCATCAAACTGTTGAAGTGCAAGTAGAAAAGTGCAAGGAGTAACATTTACTATGTAGGCATGATTATTAGTGCGCCTTTAAGACTCAGATCAGATAGGATAGCAGACATACAGAAGTATTGTAGTGATCGAAGGCGTTGCCACTGATACAGGAGTGAATCCACCTGTCAAAGTCAGTGGAAATGGACATGTCCGCCAGGATTTCTTGGTTCACAATGAGTGTAGATGGCTCATTCAACAGCACATCCACTGACAAAAAAATATAATATAATTTTATTAAAGTAATTTATATTTTTATTAATACTTAACAAAACAAATACATTTTTATTATGATTAAATATAAATTACTTTTTTTTATAACTTTTTTTGTCATATTAAAAATTAAATTTAAAATAAGTTAATATAAATTACTTATAATATAAATTAAATATAATAACATTTAATGGGCTTTTTAAAATATTTTTAAAGAAATTCTAATTATTATTATTATTTTTATAACTTTTTAATTAATTAAAATAGAAGCATGTGTGGATGTGGATTCCCTTGTCATCATAGATGTCAAGGGCTATGATAATCTAGAGTAAGTGACGAGACGCACCACATGTTCACGCCAATGATGGTTCCACTGCGTCTGGAAATTCAACTGTTCAAAGACATCAGTAAGGAGAGACACAAATAGAGCAAATAAAATATCAAACCCTAATCTGTTGCTGGGGGCACGTGGGAAGGAACTCACTACCAGTGACACACCGGAGAAAGAGTCGAGTCCATAACAATGGATCAATTACTACATCTTCTCCAAAGAGATCTGATCCATCATTTTGAGTAGGAGTGCTGCACCCACGGAGGTAGCGCTCCAGATGCAGTTTGAATCGTGTGATGATATCATTCAAGGTACCACTGACTGGGGTAACATTGATGACAAGAAGGCGGATAACCTGCTCTGGTGAGGAAAGAATGCGGCCACCAAACATTCCCTCAAGAATCGTACTAGATGAATCTTCAGTGATGAAATACTGAACGCAGCAGTGGTGATATGTGAGCCAATGAATGAATGTCTTTAATGCAGGGACACACCTCATGTAATGTCATACGGTCACCAATTAGGCAATCAAATGCCTGACGCATTGATGAATATACAATGTAGTCAGGTGTTCCACAAGCAAACTGGTTGCCAAAGAACACCTGACATCGCAACCGGTGGGTAAGCTCGGCCTGTGCATTCACAGGAAGGCACCTCAGCTGTGTAATCTAACCAAGCAGTGTGAAAACATCGTCATGATAGAAATGAATGAGAAACTAACCTGGGTGGAAGCATCAACTTCCAGAATCATGGAATACAAGTTCATTGCAGGTGCTATGGATAGTTCTAACCGGCCCATTGCAGCATCAGTGACTAGAGGGGGTGGCCACACAAGAAGACGTTGACTCCCAATGGGTGCAATGGCAGTGGTGAATGACGAAGTGGTGGCTGTGATGTAGTCGCTCAGCAGAAACAATACAATGATTGGAGAAACAGGGAGGATTTCTAGGTCCATAAGCATCGCAGTCCGAAAGATAATTCCATACGCCTGGTATGAAACAATATCTTCATCACAGGGGGGTAGTGAGGTCACAATGGGTACCCAATACCTGTCGCAGGTACTTTGCCAATGCCCAGAGTCTTCTGTGATCATTCTGATGACCTCGCTCCAGAAAGAGCGAAGTACGCCATGTCCAACACCATCACTACTGTACAAGAATAGGTCAGCGACATTTTTGGAAGAGCTGCCCATCCGACCTACATTGAGACATCAAACTCCCCAGTGATGATGCTTGTCGGCGTCAATCCAGTAAGTGTGGCACCTGTTGACTGCTCGTCAGTCATTGAAGCCTCTGGGCGGCACCAACTCTTGATAGTGTCAATAAACGATCAGGCTGCAACTGATGCAGTATTTGCGCTGATGGTGATGGTGGCTGGATCATCACTTAGGAGGGACTGCATGGTCGTTCGTGCAGCTGCTATTCTCCCTCTCCAAGCAGCGACAGCAGCAGTGGGAGATTGTTGACGGGGTTGCAAAGCAACAGGGGGACGCATGATGGTACTAGTGGCAGTATCTGGACCAGACAATGCAGAGGAAGCAGGACCGTCGAAGGACATAATCTGAGGCACGCGTAGAGGTGATAAGGGCACTACCCTATTAACAGGAGACACCGGCCCTGGCAGGAAGAGAGACACCCCAACATTGGTAGTATCTGCTGGTGTCAATGGCGCAAAATCAGGAACATCAAAATCCATATCAGAATCTGCCGATGGTTGCTAAGGTGAAGACATAAATTGAGCACCTACTCAGGCAAGAAAAGACGTTACATACCTCAGAGCACCCATCGGCGCATGTAAATTCTGTGTCCTCTTCATGTATGTCTGGTTGAAAGTTCTTGTTCCAGAGCCGAGGTGCAAGACACAGGTGCAAACCCTGTCCATCGAGAGGGCCAGTAACAATAAACTCTAGAGGAACTGGATGCCACATCAATTATTAAGAATGGGAGAAGAAACAGAGGAGAAGCTTACCAACAAACACTATGCAGTGATCATGATGAGGCGACGGTACAGGGAGTTTATCAGCATTTGCAGCCAAGTCTTTGTGAGTGACATCTTCAGCAGATTTCCGGGATGAGGTGAGTTTAGCACCCAGTGCTGATCGCTGACTTTTTCCAGTCATAAGGAATGACCAGGTGTATCAAGACATCATGACAGTGTTGGTATTTGGTGCACTGTGAGGGCGGGAGAACACAAACCCCTTGCCATCCAAATGGTTGGTTAACTGAATATCGAAAATAGGTCCCGCCAATTCATCTGAGCACACCGTCACTTCAAACTTGAATGAGAGTCCCAGGGACTCACTCAGCCTGGCGTAAAAAGGAGCCAATCTTTTGAAGTACAGGGCACCGGAGTTCACGAAACAGCCGATCAAAGTCCATCGTAACTGTTCCATACACCTAGACAAAAGTACCAGAGTAAAAAACCTTGCGATATGTTGCATTCAAAGATCACTCACCGGCTCAGGGTGAATGACCACCAAGTACTTGATGGGTTGAGCAGTGCGCTGAGTCAATTGTCTCCTGGGAGCAGTGGATGATCTGGTTGAGTTGCTGGACCTGCCTGCCCGGGAAGATATTATTGGCACTGATGTCAGCGGAGATGCTGATACCCCATGGGGGGCACGCCAGCGGTCATTTGTAGTTCCAGATGCAGGGGCATGGGGAGGACTCCACAGTCGAAGGGTCAGAGGTGCAGGATTTGTTGGTGGTGCTCCAGTGTTACTGGAAAGTGTTGATGGAGGAGGCTGAATGTACCGGGCAAGCGCCGGACTGCCAGATGAAGAACTTGATGAATTTGCCATGGTCGAATCATAACCAGAGTGGATAATTGGGGTGATGGGCGCTTGAGTGGGAGTAGGGACATGCACGTAATACGCTCCATTACAGAGTGCACACATGGATCGATATGTGGCCAGATTTTCATTCTACATAAAATGAATTTCGTGATTAGTGTTTATTCTTTATACTCCCTGTAGAGAAATCGGTGCCAGGTGCACATCGACGAGGTGGAAGGGCCACAGTTGTGTGATCCTGCGGGGTATGAGCACATGCGCACTCATTAGGCTGGGATCGATCAGCACCAAATACCTGAAAGTCACAGAATGTAACTTACACCCATTTCCAAATATCCACGACATGCACACTGGCAGCAGGGGGATGAGTCCATGTCTGGGATGTCCTTGAAGCGACAGGGAAATGAAGAGTTATGTCAAGAAATGGGAGACATCAATTTTTATGTATCCATGCGCGTTCCGCGGTCCATGTGCTACCATGATCCATGGTAGCTTGCAATAGAAGCTCGAAAGTGCAACATGAAGGATACAGGGGATATATATAGTTTGAAGCACCCCAGTGCTTGCTGAATGCACACACACCCGCTGCAAGATCCCTGGTAATGATGAATCTGCACTGGACAAAATCCTACATAAAAACTTGCCAGTATTTTTTCACCCACTACTCAAGCACTTGTAGATCAAGTGCAACCTTAGCAGGCACCCATGACAACCATGGAATATGACGAAGCTTGCTCTCTTGAGCCTCATAATTCATCAAAATGGAAGGTAGCTGCACACATGGGGTAGACGCGAATCGGTTCTGCGGGATCACATATTCCATGCTTAGATGTTAGATAGCCGGAACCGGAAACTAATGTGATAACAAGTATAACATACGTAGTTCTCCCTAGAAGTACTGGTTTAAACCCAGGAGACAAAGGAAAAGCATATGCCTCGAGGTAAGGGTGGATCTCAGCACTGAAAGCCGGAGGAAATAAATGGAACAAACGTGCAGTTTCAAAATGACTTCAACCTCTACGACATCACCATCTTGCAATTTTGTCCTGCTCACATTGAGAAGGACACCATGCTCATTGCAAACGTCAGGAAAGTCAACCCTGGCGTTCCCCAATTGTGCAGGACCTGAGTAATGATTGTCGGGGGTCATACAAATTGCGGAGGCACAAACAATCTATGTGGGACAGCAAATCAGATGATAGATTCAGTAGTGGGCGCACCTGGATCTCACGTAGATCCACCCGCAAGGGGCCATAGCCAGGAGCCTCGTCAGCTGCATCAGTGCTTGCCATCACACCGCCAAGTAGAGCCCAAAGGGACGGAGAACGAAAAGGACACGAACGGCCCAAACGAACTTGCACGACGTCGATCGGAGTTTGAAACAAAAATGCGAAATTGAAACTGAAACCGAAACTGAAAACGCATGAAATCAAATAAGTGAAATCAAAATCATGAAATCGGAACTTAACGTGAAAATCAGTCTCGGTAGAGCGAGAATTAGCACCCGAAAACGAATCACTTGTGTTTGAAAGCGAAACGAAACGTCGAAACTCTGAATTGAAATCGCTGGGAATTTTGTCCGCTGGCGCCCTTCATACTTTTGCGCGTCTGGACTGCTTGTTATCTGGTGCACGATCGGGTTATCTCAAGATCAGTGCATACGGATAGCTCATGCTGCGCTCAGCGCTAGCCTCAGGGACCACCCTCGTTTCCCCTTATGGTGACTCCATGGTGGCATTCTGCATATAAGGATGAAACAATGCTAGCTATTTACTTTAAGAATTCTCGTCTTTAATGCTGCACTGAGGATTTCACACAATGGACGTGAGTCGATCTTGATTTTACAAACCGTCATCAATGGTGGCTGATTTCGATTAACCCGGGCAGGAAAGCAATGTCACCGTTCAATTCAAAATCGAACCACATATTATTCCTGCGACAGCCATTCAAAAATCAGGGCAGTCTCCTGATTGCAGTGGAGGGTTTGGCGATGTCTGGAAATGCCACATGTCTACACAATCTCAGGCTGATGCCCGTCTTGTAAGTTTACAAACAAGGGAACAATTCCAGTGTCACAGTCATTTATCACGATAAAGGTCGCGGTCAAAGTCATCAAGGTCTTGCCGGACGCAGGTGTGCATAGTTAGGTTCTGTCTGTAAGCTTGATTCTAAATGATCCGTGTCTTCCTCAATTTGCAGGTATGCAAACGTTACAAAAAATAAGCAAGGTGAAGGCATGAAGTAGTTCACCATTGCAATCGCTGATAGGTTTACTCACCAGGATATTCGTCGGGAGGCCTACGTTTGGATTCTATTGTCGCATGACAACATTCTCCCTCTGGAGGGTGTTACCGAAGGATTTGGTCCTCTTCCCGCGTTGGTCACTCTATGGATGGAAAATGGATCACTTGAAGACTGTTTGAGACGGGAGGTTGGTCTTTCGTGGGAAAGGAAGTTAAGTATGGTATGTATTTCATATCTGCGGAGACACGCCGAGCCCTGACGTAACATGTCAGGTAAGGGAGATAGCAGCTGGTCTTCAGTATTGTGAGTGACGCTCTGGCCTTGCGGTTCAGTTGACTGATCTACCGCAGTGCATGACAAGGGTATTGTCCATGCTGACCCAAATCCTGTAGGTTTCATTCCTGGTACTCTATGCAGAAATGACGGTTCCACAATTTAGACCAACATCCTAGTCAGTAGTGACGGGAGGCTCTGTCTCAGCGACTTCGGTCTCTCAATGGTGCTCGCAGAATCAGGCAACCCTACATTTAACTCATGTCGCGCGGGCTGTATCCGGTGGGCGGCTCCGGAGCTAATTGAGGAACAAGCCAAGCCAACTATGCCCAGCGATGTTTACTCGTATGGTTGTACCATGATGCAGGTACGTCGCGTATTCCCATTCAAATACAATGGTGCTGATATCAGGTAGGTGTTTTCTGGCCTTCAACCTTATGACTATGCCGCGCAGGCTATCCACGTCATAACAGCAATGCTAAGGGGGCGCAAACCGTTCTCCCGATTGGCTACTAGTACTGGTATCGACGACGAAATCGAGCGGTTTTCGACGACGAAATCGAGCGGTTTGCGCAACGATGCTTGTCAACTGAGCCACAGGACCGTCCGCCGATTTGTGAAGTTGTGGAGTTCTTGTGGTCACAGACAAACATCGCGGAGACTATGAAGACGATGCTATTGCGACTTCCAGTCCCAGTGACACAAATATCGCAAGCAGTTCTCACGAAATGTGACTATGATCCTGATGGTTTGGACGTCCTTGGTGCAGCTTTGAGATGCAAGTGGGTTGTGCGTGGGTCGAATGAGACCGAGGTTGGTGCATTTGTTTACATCCACGAAACTATGTGTAATCCATCAGCTGACAGGTCGCGGTCAAGACTTTGAGAGATGATGTTCACAGTCAAAATGATATCAACAAGATATTTAATGTGAGTCAACACACAGTTCAGCATCGCTGTACAGATGAATCATTACTAAATAATGCATTGTTTGGCAGAGGATTCGTCGTGAGATGTATGTCAGGGAAAAGTTGAGGCATGAGACCATCCTTGCCCTCTATGGAATGACTGAGGGTTTTGGAATTCTCCCATCCTTTGTATACCCATGGATGGCAGGCGGTTCGCTGCACGACTACGTGAAACGAGAGCACCCCAATCTACCTGCGCGTCGGAAGCTGGATATCGTGAGTTGATGATTCAAAGTTCGTCGCATTCATAGGTTCTTCATCTCTGACCTCGAATGGGCAGCCACTGGAGGTGGCGCATGGTCTCGAATATTGTCAGTGTCCCACGTAGCAGCCCGTGCATAGAACTCACGTGCAATCTTAGTACACAAGCGGGACGTTGCGCATGGCAATTTAACGGGTGTATGCTTCGATTACTTACGTTACGCAAAAATTCTTACTGCATCCCTAGGACAACATTTTCCTTGACGGTTCAGGCCGTGTGAGCATCGCAGACTTCAGTCGCTCTGTAATACTGGCTGAAGCAGATAGTCGGATGTTCAGGGAGCAGCTCCCGGGAGATGCAAGGTACATTGCACCTGAGTCTATCTTTACTGGTGGCCAGACAGGAGCACCAAAACCGACCAAAGAAGGAGATGTGTACTCATATGGCTGCGTCGCAATTCTGGTGTGTTATACGGCTCATCTACTTTCGCATTTTACACCGCTATTCCCCTAGGTATTGTCGGGAAAGGTGCCGTACTGGTGGATTTCGGAAGAGAGTCAAGTGCTTTCAGAAAAAGAAAAGGGTACATCGCCTTTTCATCCTACAGTGGAGGTATGATCCTTGCGATGTTTCTCTTACGCAACCCTCAGAGGGTTTCTGATCCAAAGATTGATAAAGCGCACTTGAACTTGGTGCAAGAGTGCCTGTCGGCGGTGAAATCCCGTCTTCCAATCGAGAAGGTCTTCTACTTAGTTTTAGTCCAAAGTTCCGGGTAAGCCACTTACCTTTCATGCATGCCACTGTTAGGCTCATCATCTTCAGTGCTGCTGATCTGACGACTTCGGTCGAACGACCCAACAAGGTTTACCAGAACGCCGGAGGATTTGCAAATGTTCATAGGGGCAAACTGGATCTAAGAGACATTGATGCCGTCCAACGAGTGGTTTTCCGCTATCAATTTCCTTCTAGGTCGACTCGTGTTGACGTAGGTGTCTTATCCGTCACTTCGTTTTACATTTCTCATAGCAATCTAGGTCGCAGTCAAGGAAATAAGAGGTGATACAGATATGTTGACGATTATCAAAGTTGGTAACCATGGGTTCTGCCTTCGATCGACTGACTTTTAGTCCTTCAGCGATTTTTCAGAGAGATTACGCTATGGTTGAAACTTGAACACAAGAATATCGTTCCTCTTTGGGGAGTTGCAGATGGCTTTGGCTCCCTCCCAGCACTTGTCGCGCCATGGTTAGAAAATGGTGCGCTGACCGGATACCTTCAACGTGAGCACGAAAGGCTTTCTTACAACGAAAAGTTTGCACTGGTTTGATCAATTTCTCATCTTACCACAATCTGCATGCTAAGGTCTCTTTAGCTGAAGGACATAGCTGAAGGGCTTCAGTATCGTATGCTCGATGTTTTGTCGTTGATGCAAGAGTCGACTAACGCAGATTGCAGTGCATTCGCAGTTAATCACCCATGGTGACTTGAGTGGCGTACGTACACATTTATGAGTCGTGTGAAAGCCCAACTGAAGCTTGTTCAGAACAACGTTCTCGTCGATAAAGATGGAAAAGCAAGCCTCATCGATTTTGGTTTCTCTGCTCTCGTTCCTGAGAGAATGAGTCAAGCATTGATGCCAACCTATTGCGGGGGCACCGCACCCTACATGGCGCCAGAATGCTTGGCGTTCGATGACGAAGGCAACGAGTCGGCGCCGGTATTCTCTCCGAAAAGTGATGTATACTCTTTCGGGGGAATCATGCTACAGGCACGTAACCTGGATCATCAATATCGAATCCACTCATATCTCTGCAGGTATTGGAGGGCAAGGTCCCATACCATTACGTCCGCAAATGTGCAGCCATAATCAACTTGATATCACGCGGAACAAGACCTAAGAGGCCACTCGCACCTGTTATCGAGGACAGCGATTGGAATTTCATGGAGAGTTGTTGGTTAGAAGATATGGGACGTCGGCCCTCTGACGAAGACATACTGGAATTTGTGGAAGAACGGGCTAGAATTTAGTCCTAGTTAATGTTACCTTTGTACTTGTTTTTTTCATCGCGTGTAGATTAGGAACCATGGATGTCGCCTTGGCACCTTGTCTGGAATCGAGTGAAGTAGATTCTACCACTTTGTAAGCACGCTGGCTTACCTGAGTTCTCATAATCAATACATATACCGTCGCCGATACTGAAACATAGGCTTTCAGTATTTCACCTTTTGGTGTAATGGTTATGCGCGGCGGCGGTCTGACCATGTTACACACTTCTCAACTTGATCAACCCAAAAGATTAGTATTGCATGTTTCCTGCACAGAGTAAAGCAAGGTCATAGTGAACGAAAGCTAATAAACATATAGCACGATCATGATGACCGTCAAACATCGTAGCACTTATCTATCATCCAATGACTCTGGGTCATAATCCAAGTCCTGGTTGACTAGCATCTTTGAACGATCGATCGATTTCATCTTCATCGACAGATGCCTCATCATCCGAAAAATATTGGCCCACAAATGTCATACGCAACGCCGTGCTTTCAACTTTGAGGTCTGTCTTTTTTGCTTCAGAGTGGAGTCCTTTGGGGTCATAGATCCTATGTTAGACAGTTTTCGATGTCTGTCTCCTGTTCAACGACGACGACCCTCATGACGATCAGGAAGATTGGAGCTCAATACAACTTTTTAACACACAAATCATGTAGCAAGCTTACTTAGGATTGAAATCGATGCTGATGTGAAGCATCATAATAACCCCGAGATGGTAGGCCAATGCGCCGAATGAGCTGCACCCACCGATGAGGTTCTTGATTGGGTATCTGTATAAGGTAGCCAGCTACGAGACATACATATAGTTAGTACAGCAAGATCGCAAAAATCAATCATCGACAGGACTAAGAGATCACACGAACTTGGATTATACACGAATAGTCATGTCCATCGGGAGGATAGTACCATGTGCACCAAGCGTTGCGTGTGTCAGAAACGACGGGACTAGAATGCAGACGAAGTAAGAACGCGTATCAGACAATAGTAGCAACCATTTACTCTGCAGAAGTCTTCTCCGCTAATCACACAAACCTACATTAATTCGCCCTCACAAAAGCCGTCAAGTTCTCATGATACGTGACAGATTAATGAGAGCGGACTGATGCACGGCTGCATGAAGCGTTAGCGTCTGACTTAGTGGTGATAGTAGAAACGTACCTCAGCTCTAGCCTTGAAGGCGGCTCCTGGAACCGCTGGTGTGCAGAGTAGTGCACTTCTCCACCAAAATCTACGTGTTCAGCATTCTTTGGCGCGTAATCCATTATTCGACAATTCAGAGGAGGACTGGTTTCAAGGCGTAAAGTTGTGAGTAGTGTGGCGAGATCATTTGGTAAAGGTATTGAATGAGTCATATGGGACAGAGTCTTGTGCTCGAGTGGTGAAGATAGCGCGAAAATTGAAAGGGGGTTCACTTTATCAGAACGAAGGTCAGCCAAACGATTCAGGTGTCGTATGATGTGGACCTGCGATAGGAGGTAGGGAAGTGGAAATGCTGAGATCGAGAGTGCTAGACGAGGATGAGAAATGTTTGCGCGAAGACGATGATGAACTGACTCTTGTGAATTCGGGTAATCAGGATGCCTAAGAAGATTCCTTGCCTTGAAAAGAGGATTCGGAGACTGTCCACTCTCCTTACATAGATGACAAAAGTCTAGAACCAATCAGTGTTCTGCCGGTCAGTGAACCAAGGTCACGGTCATTGACCGGATTGCGTGGGAAAGCTGGCGAACTTCGTCGACGTTCATCTGAACACGACTTTCAGGAGTTTCCTGGTCCTACTGTAACGAACTATACTATATCTGGTCAATGCTAGAATCTTTGATTATCCTCGTGCCACTTCACATATCATTACTCACATAAACGCATGGTTTTCATGTGTTCGGTTCAAGGGCACGCTTTAAGGCTTATAACTCGAAGATGGACTCCCGACTTTCGACACGCCAACTCGATGGTGAAGATCGGCAAGAGATCAAACCGAGGATGGTGGTGGGATCACTTCGTGGAGCACCCAGGTTATGCTGTCAAAGACCCAGCTTCGATGGTCAGCGGAAAGGCAAAGGTGGTGTGTGCAAGGCTCTATGAGCAATGTGTTGCGCGTGAGCAGGCAATGGACGAGTTGCCCAACGTCTTCTCTCGATTTGCCCGAATTACGCCTCTTGTGAACGCCTGTTTAGCATGTTCGGCGCAATCCTCACAAAATGGCGCAATCAGCTCTCAACTGAGACACTCACCCTTCTGGCAGAACTCAAGATGTATGTTCACGAAGAGCATGTACGCAATGACGTGGTCAAGAAGCGGCTTCAACGCCGGTACTGTGACACCGAGGCCACTGACAAAGCAGAGCCTACTCAAGTAGTTCATGCAGTTGGTGATGATTTATCAGGAGAAAGCAGCGAACGGGAGCCACGCAGCCTCGCTTTCGAGAGGCGAGGGATAAGTGATGTTGCAGCAGACCTTATCCGAGCTGTTCAGGAGGAGGAGGAGGAGATTTCCGCCACAGAATCAATGCACTCAGTCCCCATTGGTGCTGCCAGTGCCGGTGGTTCATTCTCCCGCATTGCTATCAATGAATTACTCGACTATTCTCGTGCGGAGGAATAGTTGGGATCTTTTTATAAAGTCGCTATTCGAGGTTTAGATGCTGAGCTTGAGTTGTACGAGCTTCTTGACTTAGATGCAGAGGGAATTGATGATCCAGACTTTCCTCAAGTTGATGATGTTCTTGACGAGTAGATTCAGAAAATGAGTGGTGCTACCAGATGTTATAGTAGTAGTAGTAGTCGAGTACTATCCATTCTGCGATCGTTGACGCACCGTGTACTGCGGCACTTTGAACATTCACTCCTGCTTCGTCGTCCAATCAGACATGATTATCTAATATCCAAGCAGGACATCTGGCACTGCACGGGTTCAGTTCACTTGCATTCATGGGAAAGTTCGCAGCTGAACGTACGTTAACTTTGATAAACGTACACTGACCGGCAGAACACTGGAACCAATACTATTCGGACGAGTCTTCCCGGGGACCGAGTAGCGATCGAATGGCCATGACACCCTGCACTGATACGGCTAATCGATGATAGAAGGTGAGTACTAGTGTCAGGCCGATACGAAAGCAGAGCTGCTGAAAGAAGATTGATTCTGCAATGGAACACGGACTCGTTGCACTAGTGCTATGTAGTGAGATCTGATCGATCTGATCTCAGACTGGAACTTTTACAGCTGTTTGAGAAAGTACATAGTAAGCTTGATCATGCTCCGGATTTGTTGTAAGAGAACTTGATGGTATGAGACGAATAGATCTGATCATGGCGTTTCCGCTGAGCCAAGAAGGGCATGGTGTGTTAATGATATGCGTGATAAGCTGGTGGCGAATAGTAAGTAGCGCGGCAACCCAGGTAGAGAAGCTAGGCTATAGACAACCCGAACAGTGCTGCATAGATAAGAGGCAAACGTGCATAGCCCGATCGCGATCTATTCTTAAAGTTGCGCGTCTGGACCGAACAATATTTTCCTATCATGAATAAATAACTCGCCTCGAGGTCCCCCGTTTCTCCCTATGGGACGAAGACCTGCCCCATGATGGCATTCTGCATATAAAGATGAATCAATTGCTATCTACTCTAACACTTCTCGTCTTTAATGCTGCGCTGACGATTTCACACAATGGACGTGAGTCGCTCTTCAATGATTTTACAAACGTCATCAATGATTACATAATGATGGCAGGAAAGTAATGTCACCGTTCAATTCAAGATCGAACCACATATTATTCCTGCGACAGCCATCCAAAAATCAGGGCGGTCTCCTAATTTCAGTGGAGGGTATGGCGATGTCTGGAAATGTCACATGTCTACACAATCTCAGCCTGAGGCCCGTCTTGTAAGTTTACAAACAAGGGAACAATTCCAGTGTCACAGTTATTTATCACAATAAAGGTCGCGGTCAAATCCTTCAGGATCTTTGTGGAAACAGGTATGCATAGTGGCTTGGTTCTAGTAAGCTTTATTCTGATCGTGTCTCCCTCATTATGCAGATATGCAAACATTACAAAAAATAAACAAGGTACAGGCATGAAGTAGTTCACCGTTGCAATTGCTGATAGGTTTACTCACCAGAGTATTCGTCGGGAGGCCTACGTTTGGGTTCCATTGTCGCACGACAACATTCTGCCTCTGGAAGGTGTTATTGTGGACGATGAATTTGGGCCTTTTCCTGCTTTTGTGAGTCCTTGGATGGAAAATCAAACACTGAACGACTATTTGAAATGGAAAGTTGGTCTTTCGAGAGCGAAGAAGTTGACTATGGTATATATTTTATATCTGCAGAGACACGCTGAGCCCTGACGTGAGTCACGTGACATATCAGGCAAAGGAGATAGCAGCTGGTCTTCAGTATTGTGGGTCACGTTTTGGTCTTGCGCTTCGATTGACTGATCTACCGTAGTGCATGACAAGGGAATTGTCCATGGTGACCTTACTGATGTAGGTTTTGTTCCCCGTACTCTGTACAGAAATGACGGTTCCACAATTTAGGCCAACGTCCTAGTCAGTAGTGATGGGAGGCTCTGTCTCGGGGACTTCGGTCTCTCAATGATCCTCGCAGAAGCACGCAACACTACATTTAACTCATGCCATGCGGGCAATATGCGGTGGATGGCGCCGGAGCTAGTTCTTGTTGAGGAGGAGGATGCGATGAGCAAGCCAACCAAGGCCGGCGATGTTTACTCGTATGGTTGCATCATGATGCGGGTGCGTTGCATGTTGCCATTCAAATAATATGATACTGACATCACACAGGTGTTTTCTGGCCATAAACCCTATCACCATATCAAGCGTGATGCAGCCATTATAACAGCAATGTATGACAATCAGAAACCGTTCTCCCGTTTGGTTGATATCAGCGAAGAAATACAGCACTTGGCGCAACGGTGCTGGTCAAGTAATATGGAATATCGCCCGTTGGTTGGCAAAATTGCGGAGTCCTTGCGGTTACAGACAGCCATCGCGGAAACTGTAAAGATGATGGTGTTGCAACTTCCAGTCACAGTGACACAAATATCGCAAGCCGACCTCACGAAGTGCGACGATGGTTTGGACGTCCTTGGTGCACCTTTGAGATACAAGTGGGTGGTACATGGGTCGAGTGAGACCGAGGTCGGTGTATTGTTTGGATCCATCATGGAACTGTATGTAATCCATCAGTCAACAGGTCGCAGTCAAGACCTTGAGGGATGATGTCGACAGTCAAAATGATATCAACAAGATATATCATGTGAGTTAACACAATTCAGCATCGCTGTACAGACAAATCATCACTAAATGATGTATTGTTTGGCAGAGGATTCATCGGGAGATATATGTCAGGGAAAAGTTGAGGCACGAGACTATCCTTGCCCTCTATGGAATGACTGAAGGTTCCGGAATTTTCCCGTCCTTTGTATACCCATGGATGGCAGGCGGTTCGCTGCACGACTACATGAAACGAGAGCACCTCAATTTATCTGCGCGTCGGAAGCTGGATATTGTAAGTTCATGATTCAAAGTTCGTGGCATACACAAATTCTTTAGCTCTGACCTCAAATGGGCAGCTACTGGAGGTGACGCGTGGTATCGAATATCGTCAGTGTCTCCCATAGCAGCCCGTACATGGAACTCACGTGCAACCTTAGTACATAAGCGGGACGTTGTACATGGCAATCTAACGGGTGTATGCTTCGATTACTTATGTCACGCAAAGATTCTCACCGCATCGCTAGGACAACATTCTCCTTGACGGTTCAGGCCGTGTACGCATCGCAGACTTCAGTCACTCCGTAATCCTGGCCGAAGCAGATAGTCAGATGTTCAGCGAGCAGCTCCAGGGAGATGCAAGGTACACTGCGCCCGAGTTTATTTTCACTGGTGGCCGGACAGGAGTACCAAAGCCGACGAAAGAAGGAGATGTGTATTCATATGGCTGCGTTGCAATTCTGGTATGTTATGCAGCTCATCGACTTCCCATGCATTTTACACCGCTATTCTCTAGGTGTTTTCAGGAAAGGTGCCGTACTGGTGGATTTCGGAAGAGAGTCAAGTGCTTTCAGAAAAAGAAAAGGGTACATCGCCTTTGCATCCTACTGCGGAGGTATGATCCTTGCGATGTTTCTCTTACACAGCCCTGAGAGGACTTTTTGATCCAAAGATTGATGAAGCACACTTGAACTTGGTGCAAGAGTGCCTGTCAGAGAGGAAAATCCCGTCTTCCAATCGAGAAGGTCCTCTACTTAGTTTTAGTCCAAAGTTCCGGGTAAGCCACTTACCTTTCATGCATGCCACTGTTAGGCTTATCATCTTCAGTGCTGCTGATCTGACGACCTCGGTCGAACGATCCAACAAGGCTCACCAGAACGTCGGAGCATTTGCAAATGTCCATAGGTGCAGGCTCGATCTAACAGGCACCAATACTGTACAAGTGGTTTCCCGCTATCAATCCCCTTCCATGTCAACTTGTGCTGACGTAGGTGCCTTGTCCGTCATTTCGTTCTGCCTTTCTTATAGCAATCTAGGTCGCAGTCAAGGAAATAATTTTGAGAGGCGATACAGACATGTTGACGATTATCAATGTCAGTAGCCATGGGTTCCACCTTCATTCAACTGACTTTGGTCCTTCAGCGATTGTTCAGAGAGGTTACGATATGGCTGAAACTTAAACACAAGAATATCGTTCCTCTTTGGGGAGTTACAGATGGCTTTGGCTCCCTCCCAGCACTTGTCTTGCCATGGTTAGAAAATGGAGCGCTGACCGGATACCTTCAACGTGAGCACGAAAGGCTTTCTTACACCGAAAAGTTTGCACTGGTTCGGTCATCTTCTCATCTTACCATAATCTGCACGCTAAGGTCTCTTTAGCTGAAGGACATAGCTGAAGGGCTTCAGTATCGTATGTTCGATGTTTTGTCGTCGATGCGAGAGTCAACTAACACAGATTGAGGCAGTGCATTCGCGGTCAGTTACCCATGGTGACTTGAGCGGCGTACGTACACATTTATATTCGCATCTCACCTTTTGTCTGAAACCGCAACTGAAGCTTACTCAGAATAACGTTCTCGTCGATAAAGATGGAAAAGCAAGCCTCGCCGATTTTGGACTCTCTGCTCTTGTTCCTGAGAGAATAAGTCAAGCATTGATGCCAACCAACAACGGAGGCGCCATAGCCTACATGCCGCCAGAATACCTGGCGGTCGATTATGAAGGCAATGCATCAGCGCCGGTATTCTCTCCGAAAAGTGATGTATACTCTTTCGGAGGGATCATGCTACAGGCACGTTCATCTGGATCATCAATATTGAATCAGCTCATATTTCTGCAGGTATTGGAGGGCAAGGTCCCATACCATTACATCCGCAACCATGCAGTCATAATGACCACCATATTACGCGGGAAAAAGCCCAGAAGGCCGTCCGCTCCTGTTGTCAGGGACAGCGACTGGAATTTCATGGAGAGTTGTTGGTTAGAAGATATGGAGCGTCGGCCCTCTGACGAAGACATACTGGAATTCGTGGAAGAACGGGCTAGAATTTAGTCCTAATTAATGTTACCTTTGTACTTGTTTTTTTCATCGCGTGTAGATTAGGAAGCATGGAGGTTGTCTGGACACAATGTCTGAAATCAATCGATTCTACCACTTTTCGGCTTAATCAACATACAAGATTGGTATTGCGTGTGTCCTGTACAAAGTAAAGCAAGGTCATAATGAACGAAAACTACTAAACATATACCACAAGGACCATAGCACTTATCCGCCATCCAATGACTCTGAATCGTAATCCAAGTCCTAGTCGCCTAACGCTTTTGAATCATCGATTTCATCTTCATCAACAGACGCTTCATCATCCGAAAAATACTGGCCCACAAATGCCATACGCAACGCCGTGCTCGGGCTGAACAGCGTAAACTTCGACTTCCCCAGGTGGACCTTGACCACCGAAAACATATATCCTTTCGGTGATGAGTCGCTTCGTTGGTGAATCTCGTCAGCGATCTCCGGCCATATTCCCGAGATCTTACTAGATTGAAGCAGTATTCATAGCAGCTACATAGAATGCATTGATTACAATTACCCGTCATGAAAGCTTCTGCAGCTCGGCTTCTATGAAGGCTACGATTTCCTGAACTTTAGGTCGAGCATTGGAATTGGTGGACAGACATCTCAGCCAATACTGCTTATGGCCTTCGTCAATGCCGGTGAGCTGGCGGAAGGGCTTTCTTCCTCTCGTTATCGCCGTTATCACATGAATCGCTTGCAGCAGCGAGCAGTAAGGTTGTTGACCACAAAGTAGCTTCAGAGTGTCAGACATGCACCGATCTCAAACGAAATATGATACTTACCTGAAGCACGATACAACCGTGAGAATATACGTCTGCTGAGTTTGTTGGCTTTATTGGTTTATCGGCTCCTCTTGTTCTGAATCGGGTAGAGCAACCATTTCGGGGGCCATCCAACGCACGTTACCCCCGTGGCAGGAGTTGAATGTGGGGTTTCCCGATTCTGCGAGGATCATTGAGAGACCGAAGTCTGCAAGGCAAAGCTTGTCATCACTATTGATGAGTACGTTGGTCTGAATTCATGATGTCGTCATCTCTCAAGCATAACTCTGTAAATAATAAGATATCTACCGGTGTCAAATCGCCATGGACAATGCCCTTTCCATGCACTATGGGGCTATTTCAACGTGAATTGCGCATGGAAAAATAGAAACCACGCACAATACTTGAGACCAGATGCTATCTGACGTGACTGCTTTGGTTGAGATTCAGCTAGTCTTTCAAACACAATCGCTTACCATGACCAGCTTCTGGGATGTCGAAAGCGAAATTGGTTGTTTCAGGTAGCTATCGAGAGACCCTTTGGTCATCCATGACGAAACAAACGCTGGCAAGTGGCTGAAACCAGTTGTAATTCCATGAAGCGAGAGTATATGATCGTCTTTCAAGTTGGCCCAGACGTGGGCCTCGCGCCGTATACCCTGTCAACCAGAAATCTACGAATTACGTTAATATGTTATAACAAGAACTTACCCGTGCAGCCTTTGCCAACAGTGCAGTTTGACTGGAGTCATGGACCCTCACTGCCTTGATTGCAACCTAGAAACAAACAAATCAATGTGCATGCACGCGTGCTTGGAGTTGGGCTCACTTTGACAGGAGGATTACTGGAAGAGGTGGACCAGATACATTGCCAGACATCGCCAAAGCCACCGGTGTGATGAGGAATATTCTGAGTTCTCCTGAGTTCCGCCTCTGGGATCTCTTTGAGGCGAGTTTTGAAATCAACGTTGTGTGGTGGCATCTTTATTTGTGTGGGTGTAAGTGATACGTCAAATAGCAAATACAAGCAGGGTATAAGTACAGAGCGTTCCACCTACATGGCAGATAACAGATAAATGATAAGCACATCACATGAACAAGTATATCACAAGACATTGATGTTCGATGAAGAATGTGTGACATACCGGCAAGCGCCTGCTCTAAGTTCCGTGCATAGAGCTCCAACTACAGCATTGAAGGGCCAACCGGTCGACCGAGCGCTGGAACGTTCAGCGCTCATCTACGGACACCAAACTTTTCTGATTCCATAGATAGGGTGTCCGTCTTACTTGCACTGGGATTGATAGATCATTTAATGATATACTTGTCTGGGTCTTGCATGAGCCAAAAATGTCACGCCTGGGCCAGTAAGCACTGAGGACGGCTACTAGGGCGACTTTTGACCACATACCTGCTGTTTGGAAAATGTTTGACACATGTGATGAAACATAAAATTTGAACGCTCAAGAACCAGCACAGCAACGTTATCGTAGGCGTTTAGCTGCAGTCGAAGTTTCGATTGAAGAAAACATGGTTCAGCTGACTTGCTCGGAGCGCCATTACGTGCATATCATTGGTAATATACAGGAATAAACCTCATTCGGATTTCCCCGCTTCCATTTCCCACTTCGCTGGTGGCTGAATCGAAGATCTTATATCATTCTAGTGGGGTAGCCTGCCAACATGGTACATGTTGCGCCAGCCTCAGGCGTCCGTTGAGGGTGACAATGGTGAGATCTTATTTCTGCATACTGATGATTTTTCTCAGATAAATGAAGCGTAGTACCGAGTCGGACATTCGGCTACATGTCATAGACCGTTTGTACTGGCTCAGCGCTGCAGCCTCACAGCCATATGTTTCATATGAGCATAGATGGATTAGCAGCATCCGGAGTTTTAATGGTATAGATTAGAATGGCAAGTCCATGCGCCCACAGGCGTCATCCCTAGACCAGGAATGACCATTGGTCGTTATACATCTGGCGTTGAGCGCTGAGCGCTGATGGAGCAAATGATCTTGCTCACTTCTACCTCTGACAGAGGAACGGTGTAAGAGGCCAAACAAGTATAATTACATAACGATAGAAGATAGCAAATTGTCATAAGAATCAAGCATGCCTCTCAAGTTGTACTTATCCCATATTTTCTTCTTTCAGTATGAAGGTCCTGTTTCGTACTTGGTTTCAAGTCTGGTTGAAGAGGTGGCAGAGGAGATCACGCTTGCTCCTTGCCAGCCTTGGGCTTGGTTCGAAGTCGGCACAAAAAACAACATACAACGAGAATGTAATTGAGAATGAGTTTGTTTTTCTATGCATTTATGTCACGCAATTTTTACTGAGCACCGGGTTATTAGTCTGCCCGACCTCACTGAGCAAATAAGCAAGGAATCATCCCGATATCCCGTTGCTCAAGGCAGCTTCGGGGATGTTTGGAAGTGCATACACAGCTTGAAGCACCCTCGAATCACAGTAGAGGCGAGTAGCTCCTTCAAGTTTGCACCTGTTAATATGTGCTCATACTACCGTTTTCCTCTCTACCAGCTTGTTGCAGTAAAGTGTCTGAGACTTGAAATTCCGAACGATGACTGCAAGATAAAGGTTACCGAGGTTTGGGCGGCTCCGCATGCTGGTACCACGTGTTTATTTGCTAATGCACAACACTTCAGAGTCTAGAACACAACTTGCAGCGGAACACTAAACTGGAACACGACAATCTGTTACCGTTTCTGGGAATAACTCAAGGGTTTGGTCCGCTGCCTGCTATCGTCTCCCCATGGATGCAGAAGGGCTCGCTTACCATGCTTCTGGAACGTGATTTTCAGCAACTCACTCTCACTCGGATGCTCCAAATCGTGGGTCTTTCTTCATGCACGGTGTGGCTCCCATCTTAATTTTTGCTGTCATAGCTCAAAGATGTCGCTTCAGCTCTTCAATACTGTACGCGGCAAATGTCGCTTGTTCGGCACAAAACTAACGTGAATATCAGTGCACTCCAAAAACATAGTACACGGGGATCTCACTGGCGTGAGTACCACATGCACCTTCTTCGTCAAAGCAATTATTGACGCGACTCAGAACAACATTCTCATCAATGAGAACGGTGATGCCTTTGTTGCTGACCATGGAATTTTCATTTTTTGTGCCGAGCTCCACGGCACGTCATATATCAGGAGTAATGTGCGATGGGCTGCACCTGAAAACTTCCAAGTTCCTGAAGATGATGAGTCAATAAGCCTGCCCCAATTGGCATCAGACATATATTCTTTCGGCTGTATCATGTTGCAGGTTTGTGAGCAGATCTTGGCACCATTCCATGTGCATGTGATTGTTATTTTCTTTGTAGGTCTTCACAGGAAAAGTTCCGTATTCCGAGTTTCGAAGTGACCATCAAGTTACCGTACAGATACTCAGAGGCAGAAAGCCTGCTAGACCAGTGACTCCGTCCGTAGCAGATACTCTGTGGGATTACATACAGAAGTGCTGGCTTGATAAACCGGAACACAGGCCTCCGGCCGAGGAAGTCCTGATATTTATACAGGGACAGCTGAAACTGCTAGAGGAAAGCTCCTGATACTCCCATGCCACTCATTATGCCATGAGCATTTTTATACGTTATATTATCTATCTTGCGCTGTGTAACATAATGTTCGCGACATCTCATGCCTTGATATCTCTTTTGAAAACTCACTCCTGCTGCCCGCAGATTTGGAGTTATCATGTCAGTGACATGTCCACAGATAGTGCCATCGAGACAATAAAACACAATAAAACACTCATACTAACGAGGATGTAAGTATCGCAATTGTGATACCGAGTAGATAACAGATTCAGCATCTCTCCAACATGATCGTTGTCTGGGCTGGACCTTGCGATAGCTGTTTAAAATGGTAACCGGGTGGTAATCAAGAGTTAGTACAATACCCTATGTCGGGAGGTAAGCGCCATCAAACGTGCATAGCCTGATCTCATAGACTTCTATAAGAACAGTAGATAAATTCTTTTGCGCGTCTGGAGTATTCTATTAAGACGAGAACGCGTACCAACTGAGAGGAGGACATGGCCAGAGCACCATCAGCGTCGGGGAAGCAACCCACAAGACGAGAACACACACTTCCTGAGAACGGGATGCGGCCAGAGCACCATCAGCATTCAGGTTATGGTTAGGGTTGTTGAAATTTCAACTGAAGACTGCAAGCGAAGTTTTGTGATAACATGTACTCCGCTGGATGTGACAGTTGCGAATACGGTGCATGTCTGCCTTCAGTTCTGGGAACAGAGTTGATGAAGGATTGTGTGCCACTGTTTACTGTAGCCTCCGTAGGAGCTCTGTAATCGTCGTTTGCATGCTCGACTTTCGGTTGTTAGGTGCCATCAGCACCCAAAGGACAAAGATACGCATCAATCGATCGAGTGACGAGTCTGGCACCGAGTCGAATACCTGGCGCCAATGTGATCCATAGCGCCGCAAAAATGACATTAGCATTCATCTTTAAGGTTTGTCTTCTGTTTAAAGACGACCTTAACGAGTCATGAGGATCAGGAGGATTCTAATGCATTGGAGCTCAATACAGCTTTTGACCCACAAATTATGTAGCAAACTTACTTGGGATTGAAATCGATGGTGATGTGATCCACATGATAATAACCCCGAGATGGTCGGTCAATGCGCCGAATGAGCTGCACCCACCGATGAGGTCCTTGATTGGGCATCTGTAAAAGGTAGCTGACATACATATGGTTAGTACATCAGCATCACAAGAATAAATCATCGACAGGACCGAGAGACAATGCGAACTGGCATTAGGAATAGTCATGTCCGTCGGGAGGATACCATGTGTAGCAAATGTTGCGTGCGTGCGTCAGAAACAACGAAACTAGAATGCAGACGAAGTGAGAACGCGCATCAGGCAATTGCAGTAACCACTTACTCCGCAGAAGTCTTCTCCGTTAATCACACAGACCTACCATAAATTCGCCTTCGCGAAAGCCGTCAGGTCCTCATGATACGTGTCAGATTAATAGTGCACGGCTGCATGAGGCGTTAGCGTCTGAATTAGTGATGGTGGTGGAACGTACCTCTGGTCTTGGAGGCAGCTCCTGAAGCCACTAGCGTTCAGTATAGTCCACTTCCCCAACAAAATCTACGTGCTCAGCATTCTTTGGCGTATAATCCATTATTCGACGATTAGGAGGAGGATTGGATTCAAGACGTAAAGTTTTGAGTAGTTTGGCGAGATCCTTTGGTAAAGGTATCGAATCAAGTGGCAGAGTCTTGTGCTTGAGAAGTGGAGATAGCGTGGAAAATGGAAGGGTGTTCGCTTTATCAGAGCGAAAACCAGCCAAGCGTTCCAGGTGGCGTATGACGTGGACTTACTATGGTGATAGGGAAAAAGAAGTGGGGACGCTGAGATTGAGAAAAGAGGGCGAAAGATGTTTTCGAAAGGATTGAGTGAATTCGGGTGATCAGGATGCCTCAGTCGCAGCCAGTTGGGAGGGCAAACTTTTAAGCGCTCTGGGTTTGTCAGGAGAGATATCCTTGAAGATGGAAAGATGAAACGATAGTCAAATAGACCATGTGCATGATCACGGAACGTTCTGTACGTTTCCACTGAGCCAAGAAGGGGATGGAACTTTGAGGCAGCTGCGCCATGGCAAGGGCTGGCTTACAAACGGTCGACCGTTTTTTCAAAGACCGACAGACCGTTTGGACCGTTTGAAAAGCACGTGAGTTTTGAACGTCACGTGACGTTTGACGTCGACGTTGAAGTTTTCATCTCTCAGCATGGACTTACACTCTGTACCCAACTCGATACCAAATAGACTCTGTATTAATTTGCGGAGACGTACGAACGCAGAAGGCATACGAACATGATAAGACTGAGGAAGGAACGAAAATCAACGACTTTCCCCAGGATGGAAGGCAACAAAAAACGCTCACAAAGCAATACCAACTTGAAATAGACTCTGAATTAGTTTGCGGAGACGTACGAAACGCAGAAGGCATACGAACACACACGGACACGATAAGACTGAGTGAGGAACGAAAATCAACGACTTTTCCCCAGGATGAAGGCGACGAAAACGCTCACAAAGCAACTTGAAAAAGATCGGTGGGAACTACAGAGTGAGGGATGAAAAATCAACGACTTTCCCCAGATGAAGGCAACGAAAAACGCTCACAGCAACTTGAAAAAAAAAAATCAGTGGGAACTACTGCTGCTGGAGGTAATTGATCATGAGCCACTCATTGTTGTTGTGAGTGACTATGCGCTCGCGGGGAGTAGATGGGTCGATGATAAAATCCTTGAAAAGTCGGAAAAGGACTGTGCCGTCGTCATGGACCTCCGTGCACGAGACAAGCAACTTGGCGAAGGCTTCAGTCTCAAGCGTGTCCATATCTCCTGGCCCCTGCATGAACACATGCTCGTAGATACTAGTGCTGCCGCGGTCCGGTCCAGAACCATGGTTCGAACCGGACTTTTGGTCCGGTTCTCCGCGGTTCGGTCCATGGTTCTTGCGCCAGCTAGAACCAGACCAGAAAACGGTTCTCGGTTCTAGGTCTTCCCAAACGGTCCAGTTCTGGTTTGGCCTTCCCGAACCATTCCGAACCCTTATCGACTTCGACTTCGACAACATCTGCCTCGACATCAGACTGTCGTCTTCGGGATTCACGTTGTTGATTAATCAAGCTACATTTAGCCTTTTCGAAGGTAAGCACTAACTAATTAAACTCTCAAGTCTCTCACCAACTCACCTCTATAACAGGAGGTTCTGTTCATTGAGGACCGGCTACAACACTGCGCAAGACTACCTTTTACTGGAGGTGGATATATTAGATGTTTTTTTTTTCATGCTCGCCGCTGAAAATTTTCGGGTTCGGTTTGAGTTCGGACCAGAAAAAAACCGAACTGGACCACAGAGAACCGTTCTCTGTGGTCCGGTTCGGGGTTCGAAGATTTTGCAGAACCGGACCATGGTCCGGTTCTCGGTTCTCATCCAGGACCCTCTGAACCGGACCGAACTGGACCACGGCAGCACTAGTAGATACGCTGAACAGCTGACAGGAAGGGGTGGGGGTGGAAAATACGGCCCTCAGAGAAGATTCCTCGTGGTTGAGGCCAAGCAGGGAGCTCATCTCCACCATCTTTCGACACTTGCTTGACGCCATCGGCACAATAACCCTTCTTGTGGTTGAGGGGAGAGTTTTCAGCACCAGGGTACATGATGGTCTGGCAGCGGGAGCAAGTCTGCGGCTTTCGAGGCTAGCAATGATGATGAGCATGGAGATAGTTACGGGATAGATTGATGCGAGCAATTTACCTTTTTTCCTGGCTCTTTTTTCACGAGTGGCACAACAGAGCAATGCCAGCGCCAAAAGGACTCGTCGTTTTTTTTCGCTGTGTTTGGCAAGTGTCAGAAGCAGCGAGAGGGTGATGGAGAGGGTGAACAAGCTCACAAGTATAGTCATCCTTGATGATCTTGTTCATCAACTTCGGCTCAATGTCGCCCAGTGCGCGGAGGAGAGCTTGTGGATTCTTTCTGACAACTGACTCACCCTTTTTCTTCACCAGACGGAGGTTATATTCCTCTGTAGCCAAGGCCCAGCGCTTTGATGTCATTTGGTATGAGAGCCATTTGAACTTGGCTCACATGTCCATGAACAAGTAAAATTCGTCTGAGTCTTGCATGGCCAAAGAGCGGGGATCAATACCAGTGGCAATGGAGAAAAGGCGCTGAGAGGGGGTCTGGCCTGCTCTTGGGTTGATCGAATTGTTGATGCCAGCGCTGGTGGAAGGGAAGGAGGTCATGATCGAATTGTTGATGCTGGTGCTGGTGGAAGGAGGCAAGTCCAAGTCTGAACTAGATATATCGATAGGGAGGGCTGCCGTGTCTCCGATGCTGCTGTGATGGAGAGTGTTGGATTTGCGTTCCTCGCCATGCCTGGCAGCTCGCACCGAGGAAAAGTACTCATCCAGTTTCCCAGCACTTGACACTGTACCGGGAACATTGCTGAGAGATGCCGGCTGAATGTGATAAATTAGGAGTTGCTATGAGTGAGGAGCATTGCGTACCTGGAGAACATTGTCCTGACAAATCAGCCTTAGTTTTTTTGCGGTGCTGTTGCCATCACCCTGGTCATCAGAGTCCAAAACCTTTCGTTTCATTGGAGAAGGGGGCACGGCCGTAGTAGAAGCTGAACTCAAAGGTTTGGAAGCTCCAGCGGGGAGTTCAAGAAGTGCGGGGTCAATTTGCCACTCATTGACGGAAATGTTGCGACTGGCCTGTAGAGCTAAGTCCACCTCCTCACCTGTGAGAGGATCAGTGGCAGAATCGAAAGTGTTGAGTGGCCCATCCTCAATATCCTCCTCCTTGACTAAAAGTCCCCCAAATGTCGTGATATGGTCAGACACGACCAGCCCAAAAGTTTCACCTGATTCCACAACATGTAGCTCAGGAAGGACAAGGAGCTCGCAGCTGGGATTCTGTTGTTGCAGCGTGTTGTGAAGCTTCGCAATGTGGTCGCAGAGTTGGAGGTGGTGAGAACCATGAGTGAACTTGATGAACGGTGTCATATGAGATCTGCTGGATGCGACTCTCACATTATGACGGAGAACAAAGTCGTGACCAAGAGCACTAAGCATTATGATGCCGCTTGGCTGTGCGCGCTGAAGTGAATTCCAGCCTTTATGGGACCCTTCAATTCGGCTGCCATCGGCCCTGATCCCTTTGATGTTGCGCTCGAGACAGCCATTGCGAACATGCTTCAATTGTTCTTGATGAACCTGCCCGTAGCATCAGTAGTACCTGTTTCAGAGTCTGGCAGTTCCATACTACTTACCTTCTGTGCAGCTGCAGACCAGACACCTTTGTCTGCCCACTTGTCAAACGCAACAACGAGTTTCTGTTCCTGTTCCTCTCGGTCCCAATATTCTGCAGGTCGACCATGTTCAGCATGCTTCTCAAGTATTGCACCTATGATGTCAGCAGCAACAGCAGCTCGATATGGGCTTTTGCTAGAGTGGAGCATGGCCGCAATATACCTGTCAATCCCATTAACATGTAGTATAAATCAAAAATAAAGAGACTCGGCACTACTCACCTTGCACCAAAATGCCAGACATCAAGTTTTGAATCGGTCTCTGGCATTGCAGCAGTCACAGCCTTCCGAACTTGGCAGCAATTGTCTGCCACCATCATCTTGGGCTGGGGAATGTCGAGAAGCTCATGACGACGCTTGAGACCTTGGAGAAGTTCGGTTATCTCAGCATTAGTGCGAGTCTGGCAGAAGCGCTACAATAGTAGTTGCAATGAACCAAGGGAAGTCAGTGGCTGAGTTATTATCCAATGACTTGGAACTTACCCATGACATGATCTGATTATCCTCATTCAGCACACTCAAGATACCACCCTTCAACACTCTCAGTTTTTGGCGATCTTTGTTGGTGAGCATTGCTTTGCTTGCAGCTTTAAATGTGTTATCGAGTGAACCGCATATGGCTAGTGTTACGTTCAGGTAAGTCAGAATTGACAAGAGCATATGAAAATGTACCTGATAGTGTCTTCAAGTATAACTCACTCTCCTTCTGCCTCGTACAGGCAGTGAAATCAACAAAGACTTCAGTAATGACCTCGTCCGAGATCCATTTGTCAGCATAGCCAAGTGAGTTGCTAGGGTCCGAGAATTCCTGGAGAACTTGAGTCTGACTACTGCAACTCTTACTGCCAGTAAAGTAGTTGACAATGTTATTTGCCTTGGGCTGCCTAGAAACCTCCTCCAAGTATTCGAGCATTTGGCACTTGTGTTCCAGCAGGTGGAGTTCTTGTGAACACCCAATAAGGTAAGCAAGGTTGAATAGTCCGGAGCATACAACTACTCACGTTTGACTCATTCCTCCAGTCCTGCTGAGGTTGTTGATGGTCGTAGCTCCACCAGCAAGTCAAAAAGCTCACGTGTCAGAGCACAACAATGGAAGAAGACTGGGATGCCACCTGTTTGTCAACATGTGTCAGGTGCGTGTTGACACAACTAATCTCTGACATGTGATGCTCACGAGGAATTTTCCAATGCTCCCATGACTTCCAATATGCTGCGCTTGTTGTTGCAAAACAGTAGCCTTCAATCTCTAATGATTTTCCAAGTCCCTGTGAGTTTCTGGTTGTGGGTGGTCCCTTCGCTGACTTTTCCTTGCAGACATTGCACCGCAGCTGTGTACCTAGGGCCATTTCTTCATAGCACAGGCCATGGAGCTCCCGCGCTCCTGTACTCGTCCAGCCCTCCCAGACGACACTGTCATGTGAGCCACAACGAGGGCATTGTGCAAGCTGCGGGAAATAAAATGGGTGAATAATGTTTAATGGCTTGAGGTACTGTGCAGTAGGTTCGACTGGTCCTCCACCTGGACGCTTACGACTGTGCAGATACATTGGTGGCAAAAATCGTGGGCCCAACAATGGGATGCCAAAGGCCAGTGTGTTCAGCTCGTTCTTCTTTGATCGTGTGCGGGTCTTGTCCCATACACACTGGACATACTCAACGACTTCAGCCTCCCACTTTAACTGGAACTCTGGCCGAGGATTGCACTTATGGCTGCGTGAGTCTTTCCATGCAGCAACACGTTTTTCTACCTAGTATCATTATGTTGTGTCAGTAAGTATTGTCTCTATGTCTCACTGGCAGCATGTTGGACTCACACTGGCAGCCCAGTGTTTCTCGAACAAATTTTTCTCGAGGGGTGGAATGGCCGTCGAGTTTTTGAGGAGCATCAGGACTGATCTCGGCTCAAAGACAGACATGTCTGCAGTAGCACTGCTGGCAGTGAGAGACGGAGTATAAAGAGATCGGAGGCAGCCACTCATTTAGGGGGGCTGAATTTTTAAATCACTACCACGACCACTCTAACCGCTAGATTTTCTGTACCCAATTACTGCTAGCCCAATCCAGATTCATTTGCGTGACGGCTTATACAGTTTGCCATCAAGAGTTTATTAGCATTCAAGTTGCCGATATTCACTGCACTGCTTTAAGGGTGTGTATAGTATACTACTACTTGCAAATACGAAATCTTACTGAACTTTGGACTGCCACTGACCCCTTGTTAGTTACCATACGCAAATATATAATGCCTGTACATCTGCACTGTCAGTCATCTCAATGGCAAGTCAAAACTCGTGCAGGCAATCTCTCTCAGCCACAAAGTGCAGGCAATCCCTCTCAGCCACAATCCCAGGAAACCCAGCTCCAAAAGACTACTGCACCTTCCGACACTGATGTTGTTGCATTTTTCAATTCTGAAATTCATATCTGTGATATTGGAGACTTTGCACAGATTGGCTTCGACTACCAAGTTCAACAGCTTGCAGATGCTACAGGTTTTCAAGCGCATATCATACAAAATGTATACAAGAATGTAGGTACCTTTACGGAAGTCAGTGAAGTTGTGAAGGCTATGCAGAAGGCTGCACTAGAGTGTGCTGAGAACGAGATTGGAAAATGTACAGCAGGGGAATGAGATTGATCTGAAGAAGTTTTTGTAAGTATTAGTATGGCATGTATAATATTAACAGTGGGAATCGACTTGGATGTGCCCTGGCAGCTCCCCGCTCATGATCGGCGCATTGCTGATGAAACCCAGGATATTGTTGTAGCAAGTGTGCCATACACCTCTCCCGGGTTCACTAATGACTGGTTGAACTTGGCTTCCACTTCACCAATGACCCAGTCAAATGCCTCTCTGGTAAGATGGAACTGTTCGAGTATGCGGTGAGTAGCCATGGTGGCATGGGAGTGTGCTGAGGTGGTAAGATGGAACTGTTCGAGTATGTGGTGAGTAGCCATGGTGGCACGGGAGTGTGCTGAGGTGGTAAGATGGAACTGTTCGAGTATGTGGTGAGTGGCCATGGTGGCACGGGAGTGTGCTGAGGACGAGATTGGCTTCCACTTCGCCAATGACCCAGTCAAATGCCTCTCTGGTAAGATGGAACTGTTCGAGTACACGGTGAGTAGCCATGGTGGCACGGGAGTGTGCTGAGGTGGTAAGATGGAAAACTGTTTGAGTATGCGGTGAGTAGCCATGGTGGCATGGGAGTGTGCTGAGGATGAGATTGGAAAACGTACAGTGGGCGAATGAGATCGGTCCAACGTTCTTGTAGCAAAAGTGGCTGCGCTGAGAAGTGGGAATGAGATTGGTCTGAAGTATGGCATGTATAATATTAACAGTGGGTCAATAGCCAACGAAAATTGTGCTTGAGAGCGAGCAAAGAAGGCAACAGATTAAAAAGAACTCACTGTGTGACTCACAGCTGCTAGCCGCGAAATAATTGGTGCAAAATTCTCCAGGTTATCTCCATTTGAATGCCAAGTAGAAGTCGCACACTGCAAGATCAGTAGTACTACTACATGACCGCTGCATTGGCAATGAATTCCTGTGGGGGTCCCGCAGGATTCATTGCCAATGGTGTTACGCTGACCGTTGGTCGGCGTGTGCGAACTAGGATAGGTCTTCTCAGCGACGACTCGAGTGAGTCTACTGAAGCTGAGGGTGGTTCTCAGCTTGACGGAATGTCAAGGGTTCCTCCGGTGATCTCGGTAAGACGGCGCTCGTTGAGATACAGGGCTAGCGGATACGTGCTAAGTCGTATGGGGGTGACTTAGAAGTGCGGTCTCACACAAGGAAGCTGGTAAGGCTTAGTTGAGCAAGTTCTGGGGATGAACCTAGTAGATTAAAGTAAAGTCTAAGTACAATAATCTGCCTACTTATAGGGAAGTACTACAAGTATTCTAGCTCAGTCTGTAATCAATAGTATATCTAGGATCTATGATAACAAGACATGAGGTTCAGATAAGATACATGAGGCTTAACCTCTGATCAAGCATGCTGCGCCAAGGGCAGCTGCGCATAGGTACAGGAAGCGCCAAGAGCGCTCCGGATCTTCATGAAGCGACATGCGGTATGCATGCGCTTGATCTAGGGTGACCATGAGGCATACAGCCTCCATGGATCAGGTACAAGGCTGTCTAGGCCAGGGGCGGGGTCATAGCGCCAGGGGCGGGGTCATAGCGGTCCAGACCGCTGTCTTTCTAGGCGCGGGCGGCGCACCGCCGCGCGGGGAGTCTAGCAGAGCGGGGGCAGGCATAGGCAGAGCTGGGGCTCCTGTAGGTGTTACGGATGCCTGTAACAAATGGAGGACCATGCACTGTAGCAGTGCGGCAGGATACTCCCAGACTCGGACCGTCCACTTTGTTCCTGGAAAAGGTAAGGTGTCTAATAACACAGTAGCACCATAGCAACACACTTGTTCTTCGGGAAGAATGGGAATCTTTTGTCGAGAATGCCTGTATGATAGACCCAATGAAGTTATTTAGACACACTATTAGTGCATGAACTGGAGCACAGACTCACCTTGAGAAGGGACACTGCATGTTGGAGTGCAATCGCCAGAAGCTACATAGTACGCAGGAGGCTACCCCTGGTATGGTTTTGCGACCCCCAAACCTCGACCCCTTGGAAAGCTCCCGCCGAGCCTTCGGCTCGGCTTCCCCTTGCCATGACCATATTTTCACTGAGATGTACGGTATTTGAATTATGTCACCTGACTAAAGAGAAGCAAAGGCTGCAGACAACCCGAACAAAATGTGCATAGTTCGGATCTTCCTATCTGAGGGTAGTCTGACGAAGCACTGCCCCATAATGGCATTCGTTTAAACGTACATATGAGGATGAAACAATACCGTCGCACGCTATTTACTCTAACGCAAGTTCTCATCTTGAATGCTGCACTGAGAATTTTACCTCACAATGGACGTGAGTTGATCTTGATTTTACAATGATGTTTGTTTAACACGGGCAGAAGAGCAATGACACTGTTCAATTCAAGATCGAACCAGTTTTCATTCCTGCGACAACAGACCCTTCAGTCACTTTGGACGTAGAAGTGGTGCCCCGGATGTGCCAAAAGGCTGTAGAATGTGTCCCAGCCAGTACCGGCCTGTCCAGGTAGATATGTGGCTGGCCGGTGTGTAGAGGTAGGCACAGCCAGTGTACCTTGAACCCGCAAGGTATGTAGCCTGTGTGACCACTCAGGCAGTGTGTAGAGCTAGGACTGGCCGATGTTTCCATATACAAGTGCTCGGCCAGCACTGCTCATATGACCACATGTAGGGTGCTGGCCGGCCATGTAGGGCAGGACCCAGCCTCTGGCCAGCACTCTTATGGACAGTCGTATAGGAGTCTCGGCCGAGCACATAGGGCAGGCACTGGCCAGCTTCACCAGGACCCAGCCTCCGGCCAGCCCTGCTCATACACCTATGTATAGGAGTACTGGCCAACTGTGGTAGGGCAGGGGCCAGCTCAGTGAGGACACATCCTCCGGCCAGCACTTGTATACATGGACGTATAAGAGCCTCGGCCGAGCACATAGAGCAGGTACTGGCCAGCACTTTTATACATGGTCGTATAGGAGCCCCGGCCGAGCACACAGGGCAGGTACTGGCCAGCTCAGCCATGACATAGCCCCCGGCCAGGACTGTTATACATCCCTGTATAAGAGTCCCGGCCAGGGGTATTGGGCAGGTACTGGCCAGCTTAGCCAGGACACAGCCTCCAGCCAGCACTCTTATATATGATCATATAAGAGCCCTGGCCGAGCACACAGGGCAGGTACTGGGCAGCTCAGCCATGACACAGCCCCCAGCCGGGACTCTTATACTGTGCTGTATAAGAGCCCCGGCCGGGGGTATAGGCCATGTGCTCATTTTACAAGCAGGAGGCTGGCTGAACTGGCCAGTACTTGCACTACATGACTGGCCAGCACCTTTATACATGCCAGTACCTGCCCTCTACCCCCAGCCGGGGCTCTTATACTGCTCAGTATAAGAGCCCCGGCTGGGGGTAGAGGGCAGGTACTGGCATGTATAAAGGTGCTGGCCAGTCATGTAGTGCAAGTACTGGCCAGCACAGTATAAGAGTCCCAGCCGGGGGTATAGGGCAGGTACTGGCATGTATAAAGGTGCTGGCCGGTCATGTAGAGCAAGTACTGGCCAGTTCAGCCAGCCTCCTGCTTGTAGATGAGGTCTAAGGATCTTGAGTGGCCATGTCAACTATATACTGGCCACCTTATAATGTATATTACTTTGCCTAGTAATATCCACTAGATTTATGAATGAAAACAGCAACAATACAATGTGCTATGCTATGTCACTTGCGCATGGCCTTTTTGGACGGCTGTCTGGCTCTGCTGGATCGACGAATATTGTCAGTGGTAGGCTTTTTGGATGGTCTTCCAGATCCCCCAGACTTTCCTCTTTTCTTCCCTTTCTGCACTACCTCCTCCTCCTCCTCCTCCTCAGCCTTCTCCGGCTCCTTACCCTCACTGTCCTTTTCGTTCGCCACTTCCACCAGTTTCAACAGCTTCTGGTTCTCCTCCTCCAGCTTTCGCTTTCTCTCCTCCAGCTTTCTCATGTCCTCCTGCAGCATCGCCATTTTCTTCTTCTGTTCCTCTGTCTCGCGAAGTTCCTCTTCAACCTTCCTTCTCATCTCATCTTCCTCCCTTTGTTTCTCGTCATCCACTTCCTCTTCCCTGGTCGAAATAGTCTGAGCGGCAGTATCGGTACCATGTTCTTCTCCACCAGCCTCAGTAATGGCAGCATGTTGTCCCTCCTTCGCCTTGACCATGCGGGTGACCCCACCTCTGGCTGTGTTTATTGCCTCTATAACGAGGTCGAGGGTCTTGATACCCAAAATAGAGGTGCCAAGGTAAGAGGGGGTGTTGGGGGTAGCGTCATCCGCCTCATACTCGATGACTCGCTTACATTCTCTTAGCAGCATCCCGAGACCTAGGCCGACCTTCATGGCTGACGCCAAGCCAGATATCTTCGCAGATGAGACTACCTCAAAGAACATGTCCAACTCACTAACCTCTGAGTGTACACTGTTTGGAAGGTGCGATCCCTCCCAAGACCATGTCGCCCATGCAGGCCATTCGGTTGCCTCAGAGCTTTGTTCCTGCATCGGGTGAGTGTCAAGTTTCACCAATCTAGGTAAAAATCACAAGCGTACCTTTTTCAAGCCACCAATACTCGAAATGAAAAGCAGATACTCTCTGTTGCTGCTGAGGGATCGTAAGAATGACATTCGATCTTTCATTGGCACAGTAGCTGGTGTGCGTATGCCTTCTTGAGCAACTGACGGTCGAGCGACGAGGCCTGCTGATGGAGCTAGATTATCATCAGAGCTGTCCTCGGAGCTGTCCTCGGCCAGCCGTCTTGTACGTTTCATGGGTGTAGGGGCAGCTGAGGCTCCTTCTTCATCGTCGACTTCTACGTACTTCTTTTTTGATTTCTTCTCGCCTACATAAACAGCATTTTCGAGCAGGGACTTGTTCATGTGGGCACTTGCAGCTCCGACAAAAATAACGAGTCTCTGCTTCGAAGCCTTCCGGGCTTCCCAATGGCCCCAAAGTTTGTTGATTTCCTTCACTCTCAAATGAGATGGGTCTTGCACGGTAAAACCATTGGGGATGGAGTCTGGATCCAGGTACAGCAAAGGCTCACCGGCGATTGAGAGCCAAGGTACTGGCTTCATGCTACCAGTGAAGACTTCTGAAAAACGGAAGGTGAGTCAAGTTAAAATCGACAAAGACGAAGTAATCAACAACTCGCTGTAAGATGCATGAAAAATTTGCCGAACCAGTTCTTGTTGCCCCTTGAGGCTCACTTCCTTACGAGAAGGGAGCTTTGCGTAACCGTGGTTATCCAGGATGACTTCGGGCATTGCATCCTTTCCATCATTCGTTTCTTCATCGGAGGAGTCATCATCATCATTGGTGGGGTCTGATACATGGTCATTGAGCAGTCTGAACCGATCCAAAAAAAATACAAAACTCACAGAATTCAGCCTTTGACCACTCGGCATATTTTTCAAAACCTTCAGACGTCCATTCTTTGCTTCCTCAAGAACTCTGGCTAAACGATTTCTTCTGATTGACAGGCTGAGACTCATGACTGAATAACAATAACATTGTTAGTTTACACTGAGGAGAGTGTATAAATACTCACATCTTGACACTTAAAGTCTGATCGGCATTTTTCTTGTGACTGACCAACATCACGAGTCGGCAACCCATAGTACGATGAATCTGTTCTGTAAAATCATCGAGAACTTTTTTGAGGTTTTTCTTTCGATACCTGCCAATATAGTTAGAGTAGAAATTGAACAAAAAATGACAATTTACATCGCCTGTGATTCTGCTGGGGCGCCATCCCTATTCCACTTGTCCCTCGCCTCCTCAACCTCCTTCCGATGTGCAGAGGTCATGCTGTTGAACCATTCCCTCGCATGTCCAGTCCTATACTTAATAGAATGTTGTACGCCTTTCTTCTGTTGCTGCTCCTTATCGTAGTCGTCCATCTCCTGCTTAAAGAGTTTCTGTGCGACGTCCCAAGCTTAAGCTCCTTCTTGTAGAACCCTGCGTCCTTAGGACGAGCCGCCAACTCTCTGTCCTCAGGGGACATGCCAAGTTCTTCCTCCAGCTCTGAGTCATCTCCCAAGATCTGTTGCTCATCACGCCGATCATCAGCGTCCGTTAAGAACTGGAGGTAGTACCTCCGGATAGCCTATATATCAAGTATGTCAGCACCATTGTATACTCAGAATGAACAGTACCTTTTTCAATCCCTTTGGTAAATCCTCAGGATCCTCTCTTGTGTGATGAATTGCGACAATTTCATTGCGGATCTGTCTCAGCAAATTGTGACAGGAATTCTTCCCATTTACAAACTGATCTTTGTGGAGAGTCAGTACTCCCTCCCAAGAAGCATACCATTCAGCCATTGATGACACGTTGTATAAGTCAGGAGCTTTCGGCAAGGGTGGGTATGCGTCGCGTAACCTTAGACCAGGCCGAAAAGTTGAAATTTTGAAGGAGACGCGATCACGTGCATGCAAACCAAGACGCGTCGTTACCAAATCAACCGTGTGACAAAGTGATAACTCAATTCAAATTATGTACATACACTGTCAAGTAAATACCCAAATCACCTGCGCACCTTCTTGGCAGTCCCAGTAGGCACCCCCTCATTCATGCGCTTGCCTTGGGTAGACACAGCTGAAGACTGAAGTACAAAATGAGTAGAAGGCGACTGGAACCAAGCGCAGTTCTTGGTCTTTGCGCTGTTGACAATTGACCCAGGAGGCTTGGTGACGGACAACTTGTAGGGAGGCAACTTTTGCATGCTACCACAGTTGGTGTACTTGCATGTGTAGATGTACCGGCAAACAGAGACACGGTCTGGGGCGTCCTCGTCGCGACTCTTATCAGCAACCGTCACAGCGACCCTCTCGGCCCAGCTCTTGGTAGAGCCGCATAGTGGGAAACACGCTGCGGATGCTGAGTTGCTCAATCGCGACAAGTTCCATCATGGCGACCAAAAAATTCATGGCGACAAGAGGTTGAAAGCGAGGTGCGGGAAAGATGATTGTGCCCACGAAGTCGAATTGAAGAATGGCCTCCTTGAGCTGAGTGTAGGGTGTCTCGTGCGCCACCACAGAGCCGCAGACCAGGAAGACGATGTGGGAGGACTTGAGGATCCTAGCATAGGGCTTTAACACTGTAGAGAGAACCTAGGATACATTAATTCATAACGTTAAAACGTCCAAAATTTTAGACTTACATGCTGAACTTCCATCGCAACATACTCTCCCTCACCTTGACCCTCTTTCCCTGCAAAGAGCCACCCACTGTCTTCTTCCGAATGGTTGGAGAGAAACGCAAAGATGCGACCGGTGGAACCAAGGTGACTGGTGAGCTCAGAAACCGTTCGGACCTGGTCGCGGGTGTAGTTGTCGATCTGCTGATATGAAGCAACGTCGAACAAGATCTCGATGTACAGAAACCCGCCACTGGGGTAGAACTTGTCGAGGTAATGGGAGAGGAGTGGAACGGGTGTCGGGATTCTGTCCTTGCCACCAAGGATAAAATGGACGACGGCAAGGGGTGTGGCTGCCAAGATGGAGCTAGACGCCAGCTCGTACTTGCCCTTGAGCTGCAGGAAGCCTGGGAGTACAGGCGTTCCTCCTTGCTCTGGCAAAATGTTATGATAGAAGCCCTGAACAGTCAATCAATTTAAAATTTGAATAATAAAGAAAGACTCACAAAATATGGCGTGGGCTCCTTGATCGTCCGCAACGAGTGACAAGAAAGACATAAAAATATTACATCCGTATGTCGGACGTCATCGATATGGGCCTTGGGCACCTCAATGCATTTGCTGCACATGACGCGGGGGCACGCGTTGCATTCAAAAAGTACAACGTCACCTTCCGCGCCATCGCGACAAATCAAACACCACTGACCCGCAGTCAGTCAATGAAACACTTGAAGTAGGCAAAAAAACTTACTATACTGTGATCTTCAGTTGTCCTAGTGTCTTCCGGCTCCAAGGATGACGTGGACGATTCGGCGTGTGACGCAGCGGGCACCGGAGGAGAGCCGACAGGTGCCAAAAGTTTCTTGGCAGAACCGCCACAGGACTTCTTTGCTGTGTTCTTCTTTCTAGGTGGCATAAAGACAACTGCAGCGCAAAGGACTTTGAGAATTTTCAAATCAACCAGTCATGTGATTGTGTCCATGGTTGCGCCGGCATTTTCCATGCCAAACAATGCAGTGCAAAGGACTTTGCGAATTTTCAAACCAACCAGTCATGTGATCGTGTCACGCCGGCATTTTCCACGACAAACAACATCAAATATGTTGTAACATATAGCCAGGCACAACAATTTCACATGGTTCAATTTCAAACCACATCTCTTCCATCCGCTCACCTTGTTAGCCACCTACACAGACTGCAGCTGTGTAAGTGGCTCACAACTCACTGAGCGCTCATTCTCTACCACGCGGTATGTGTCTCTTAATTCCAATTCTATTTCTAATTTGGGTGCATAGGTTGATCTTCTTTGGTTCATCCGGTGAAAGGATACCTAAGGTATGCCTCTTTTCAACCATCTCTTCACTGAATGCCTTCTTTCTAGCCAATTTCTATTCACTGAGGAGGCTATTGGTGCGCCTGCAGATCCAAGGTCTGTTTTTGTTCAACCGTCTCTTCACTAAACACCTTCTTTCTAGTCAATTTATATTCACTGGGGAGGCTATTGGGGCGCCTCCACATATAAGGTCTATCCTTTTTTTTAAACTGTCTCTTCACTAAACGCCTTCTTTCTAGTCAATTTCCATTCACTGGGGAGGCTATTGGGGCGCCTCCACATATAAGGTCTGTCTTTTTTTTCAACAATCTCTTCACTAAACGCCTTCTTTCTAGTCAATCTATATATACTGGGGAGATCTATGTGTGCATTGGCACACTTCTCCCTTCTTTTATCATTGAGTACTGGGGGCTTGGCTTGGGGAGGAGATCTATGTGCGCATTGGCGCACTTCTCCTCCCTTTGTTTACCATTGAGTACTGGGGGTTGGCTTGGGGAGGAGATCTATGTGCGCATTGGCGCACTTCTCCTCCCTTTGTTTACCATTGAGTACTGGGGGCTTGGCTTGGGGAGGAGATCTATGTGCACATTGGCGCACTTCTCCTCCCTTTGTTTACCATTGAGTACTGGGGGCTTGGCTTGGGGAGGATTTAGTGTCCACATTGGTGCGCCCCTCCTTCAACCATCATTGCGCTTGGGAGGTTTAAGTGTCCACATTGGTGCGCCTCCTCCCATCATTCTTGTATTGTATTTTCTCCGGAAGGATGACACCTGCTCCACCATAAGGTACTTCCCATCGCTCTCTCTTCTCAAAACAATGACCGCAGCTTACAGATATGTTTCTTTTGGCTTGCTCCGATACTCAAAGGTAACCTGTTTGATATTCTCTTTGCAAATACTGATTGCGTCATTCGCAGATTATGTTATATAGTTAGCTATTCCTTTTTTTATCATACTTTTTATTACTGTATTATGACAGTACTAGACTGTCGCAGAGAGGGCCCCTCTGCGGCAGCCTTGTATTGATTTTTGCGCTCTGTTATTTTTTCTTCAATTCAATGATGCCAAATATAACTTAGTTTTTTTAATTTGCAACGAAATCGTGATGCCAGGTTCCTTGTTCGTGCGAAAAAGTCACGTGACCCCCGAATGCAGTAACTTAGAATGTCCACCAATTTTCACCGCGGCATATTGTTGAAATAGGGGTGAGCTTGAGAGTACCCTCAGTGCGCTCGCCTTTAGTCTTGAACATGACAGAATAGATGCAGCTGCAGCTGGATTCAGTTAGCAGACAATCAGAGTAAGAGGTGAGATGCAATTGCTCTTCTCCTCAACTCAAGTGAAATACCTGAGATACATGCTATGGGCCTTGCCAAAGCCTCATCCGTTACTCTGATTGTCTTCTAACTGAATCCAGTCTCAGCTGAAGATTTGATATTCAGTTAGAAGACAATCAGAGTAAGGGGTGAGGCGCAATTGCTCTTCTTTTCAGCTTAGGTGAAATACCTGAGATACATCCCTTACTCTGATTGTCTTCTAACTGAATCCAGCCGCAGCTGAAGATTTGATATTCAGTTAGAAGACAATCAGAGTAAGGGGTGAGGCGCAATTGCTACTTGCCAAAAGCCTCATCCCTTTCTCTGATTGCCTTCTAACTGAATCCAGCCTACATGCAGCTGGTATCTCAGGTATTTCACTTGAGCTGAGGAGAAGAGCAATTGCGTCTCATCCCTGACTCTGATTGTCTTTCTTTTAACTGAATCCAGCCGCAGCTGAAGATTTGGTATTCAGACAATCGGAGTAAGGGGTGAGACACGATTGCTCTTCTCCTCAACTCAGGTGAAATACCTGAGATACCAGCTGCATGTAGGCTGGATTCAGTTAGAAGGCAATCGGAGCAAGGGATGAGGCTTTTGGCAAGTAGCAATTGCGCCTCACCCCTTACTCTGATTGTCTTCTAACTGAATATCAAATCTTCAGCTGCGGCTGGATTCAGTTAGAAGACAATCAGAGTAAGGGATGTATCTCAGGTATTTCACCTGAGCTGAGGAGAAGGACATGCCTTACTCTGATTGTCTTCTAACTGAATCCAGCCGAAGCTGAAGATTTGATATTCAGTTAGAAGACAATCAGAGCAGCATACTGGTTTATTACTTGCCGTCAGCATAAAGCTTGAATTTAAAAGACAAGATGTAACTTAAGTTGAGACTGCTGTTTCTCATCTGTTTCTTTCATAATACAGGCCTCTGCTTGGATGGTATGTTGCCGCAAATCATATAGTATGGCCCCGTCCAGTTTAGAAGTTATCCTGATCTGGATCTTCCACTTTTGCTCCGCATCGCACGTTGTAAATCAAAAACCTTAAAAACCATATATAGTCTACACCACCTGGTTAGAAATTTTCCCATTCTGCTATTTCAATTCTGTTCTCAATACTCCAACCACCAAGAAATGGGGGATCTTGGTGTATTCTGTCCGACAGCCTCACAGTGTAGGCGTTGAATTTCACCCAAATTTAGAAGCTATCCCAATTTGGATCTTTCAAAGTCTTTTGATCCACATCGCGACTTAAATTAAAAACCATTTATAGTCTAGATCGTCTGTGGTTGAAAAATTTATCATTCCGTCGTTTAATGTCTGTTTTTCCAAACTTCAACCACTGAAAAATGGCAGATCCTGCTGTAACAATTCTGTCCAAGATCCTCCGTGGGCATGTAGATGACCTACTCCATGATTCATCGCCGTATGAGTTGCTGATAGGTGACAAAATCAATGACAATTTGCTTTAAAGAGCCAGGTAAGGGAGTCTCATGTCACTGTCTGGCAAAACTGAACAGCTGGAATTTTAGGACCAGATTGTGGGCCAAGTGGCAGGACTTACTGTCCCAGTACTGGTAGCGATGTCACGGCAAATGTCATTACGGAGATTGAACTTACCAGAGCTGCGGTCGTGATAGCCCATGCTGTAGTTAATCCCCGTGAGTGTTGATTTGATGGTTGGGGGGTCTGTCATTCATTTTGTTGCCATAGTGCGGGCAGATTTAGATGTAGATCGGTTTGCAGATAGTGCCAAGGCATCCCACCCATCGCATGCTGACAGCCAGAGACATAAGCTAGCAAAATATTTCCACTGTCCTTCATTCGGTTTAATATCAGAGCCGGCAACATTTGTTGACAGGCACGGAAGGATTCTCGCTTGGTATTTGCCAGAAATCATGGTGCCTGATAGAATGGTACAAGTCTGATTAATACAGTTTAAGTTCTTTTAATCAGTTATAATTAGGATCGTGTCAACCAGTCCATCAAATTGCTGAGACCTGCCTTAGATCAGTCTTTGCCCAAGCCAACTCAGAAGGCAAAGCAGCCTTGGCGTTCTCAAGGATTTGTCATGCCTTCAGGTGGGGGAGAGTTTGGAGTAGGAAGGGTGACCTTATGCCCCGGAGGATTCATGCAACGTCATGAGGTAACTTCATATTAATATACTGCTGTGATACAGAACTAACTTAAATGGGCTAGCGGCTTCAGGATGACTTGTACCAATCAGGCACTCTTTCTTTACCTGCGGTCCGAGAGTGGTTGTCCGAAATAACGGTAGCTGAACATTTGTGGTCCGCTATCACCAGTGTTATTGCGCCAGATCAATATCAGGCCGGCGTGGAATCAGTTGCTAATATGAAGGATATGGTTCGTACTTCGGATCCCATTGTCTGGCCCTCAGAGTTTTCTGGATTGGAAGTTATCGTCAATCGAGAGACCCCAAGTCATCGAGACCCTGGAGCGTCGCCTTCATTTTATGACCTTTTGGTGAGCCTTGGCAAAGCTCACCATGCCATACTAGCTCTGCCAGATCTGGGTGCTGAGCTAGCATATCCCCCTTGTTACGCACTCAAATAGATCTGTTAGGCGGAGCCCTAAGAGGGGCGTCGTCCGCTAACGTTCGTGACGTAACCGGAAGGATCCGGTATAGCAAGTGAGCCTGGCGACGACTAGTCGGCAGCGATCACAGTACGCGCGTGTCACGTGACTTCGTAGACGGATGTCTTAAAAGTCACTCAAGGTCAGGACTGTCTTGTCCGGACGATGAGGTCGATCGAGGTAGACTTAGCCGCGGAGAGCGACTAAGAAAAGATACTAGAGACTGAAGCTGAGGGGCTTCAGAGGGAAGTATGTTCCAGGGAAGATTGAGTAGATTCAAGTTAGAGAATCTAGTACAGGGTGACCGACTACTTATACTAAGTGGAGAGGGTTAAGGGCAAGGCTACCGCACAGTAGGTAAGGGTAAAGGGGATACGAGAATGGTATAGGTGCGTTGGCAACATAGCCGGATTAGTGATGGATGGTCGAAATGGGAATGAGATCGAGAAACGTTGGAACGGACCAATGGTAAGATATACAACGTGCAGGAATCCGCAGTCAGGAGAAACAGAAAGAGGAAAGCCACATTGGTGGCACGAGTCAGACCGAGTCAGAGGTGCCGGGACCACATTGGTGGTTCGAATCAGAGGAGGAACGTGCGTGCACGTGCATAGAGGCGGGCGATGCGAGGGACGGGAACGGTCCCCGAGGATCCGGTCAACGGAAAGGCGGTAAAGGAGGACGAGCCGGTAGATGGTGAGGGCGAGATGAAGGGAAAATGATAGGGGGGCCATGTGACTGATGTTACTTGTAACACCCCTGGCACTATGGTTTACATTTTAGGAAAGGTGCTGGAGCATGGGTGCTGAAGTGGGGCGATGGGGAGAGAATTGTAATTGCCCACTTTGTCAAGGATAAAGTACATGATAGGCTTGGTGTACCGAGACCAAAGTATCCGGACCAGCGGGATTTTGAATAGAGTGGGGGCAGGTAAGAAGGGGGGTCTAAAAGCCATTCGGAGATCAAATAAGAGAATGAGAAGGGGAGTAATTTCCCAATAGTAGATGTCCAGATTAGACAAAGCTTGTGATATCAAATTGGTTGACTTCTCATACGGCAGAATCTTTCTTCGGTCTAAGCACTATGTCCTCAAAAAAACGCCAGCGTCTCAAGGCTATTTCTTATTCTTTCCAAGATAGAGGAAAGTTATCACAAAAAAAGGATTTGGATGTTGATTATGTTACTCACCAACCTACAAGAGACAGAAAGGGAAAGCCCTCTTGGGTTGAGTCTTGTGCTGATGCGCTGTATGAAACTTTGCCAGAGCATACCACCAGCCCAAGGAAACGAGCCAGAGCAGTAGATGCAGAATCACCAGACATCCCAGAAGATGATTTAAACCAAGAAATGTTTGGTGACTTTGCTATTGATGGAGAGGCTCCTGAGCAAGGGAGAAAAACAAAGGTTATCTAACAGGCCGTGGCTTACTAGTAATTGTTTCTCATAAATGACATAGACACAAAATGACTTCATAGCAGAGTATCTCACCCACCGGACACATATCTAGATGTCATCTTGGACTCAGAGAATTTGCCACAGGGATCTGTGAGACTTGCCAATGTGAAGATGCTGCCTTCCATTGCACAACTTGCACTGGCGACCACAGCTGGTGTCAGCCTTGCCTCTCAAATCACATCAGTCATTGCCTTTCCACAAAATCCAATTGTGGAATGGCAAGTGCTTCGAGGACGACACTCTTGCTGACCAAGGATTTATATGGTACATGGGCCACGGTGGAAAGTCTTGCCCTTTCTATGGAGTTGCACAAAGTCACGTTGATCAAGATGCTC